TTGGGGCTTAACAGAGGTACATTTTTGTGAGAAAGGTGTAAAAACGAATGCAGTTGTGTATCAAAATACAGTCCTGACGAACCTTGTGGAACCTGTTTCTCATACCATGTTCAATAACAGGTACTGGGTATTCCAACAAGATTCGGCGCCAGCTCATAGAGCGAAGAGCACACAAGACTGGCTGGCGGCGCGTGAAATCGACTTCATCCGGCACGAAGACTGGCCCTCCTCCAGTCCAGATTTGAATCCGTTAGATTACAAGATATGGCAACACTTGGAGGAAAAGGCGTGCTCAAAGCCTCATCCTAATTTGGAGTCACTCAAGACATCCTTGATTAAGGCAGCCGCCGATATTGACATGGACCTCGTTCGTGCTGCGATAGACGACTGGCCGCGCAGATTGAAGGCCTGTATTAAGAATCACGGAGGTCATTTTGAATAAACTTTAGTGTCATAAGAATCTATGTTTTATTAAGTTAATTTTGGTATATGAATGGTTACATAATGAATAAACTTGTTTCAATTATTTTACATTAAACATGTGATAGAATTTATGACCTGACTAGGTATAGTGTAAAATGGAAATGTTTATCTCAAATATTGGTAGGAAAAGCCCGCAAAAGCACCTATCTTTTATTTGCAAGCCATTATCGCCAAAATAGTGAACCATGAATATAGCTTCAGGTGTATGATGTATGTTAGTATGTAACGGAATCTTTGAACATGATTTTGACCCCCTTCAAAATGTCGGATAAACTCGAAATTTGGTATTATTAAGGACCGATGACAATTCAATATGAAAAAAAATATTGAAAAAATTTCAATTCAACTAAAACCGTATTTTGTTAGTTTTTTTAAACCATTATTTGTTTATTTAGTTGGATTTTCTTTAAAAGCATATTTTGTTAGTTTTTTNTAACGGAATCTTTGAACATGATTTTGACCCCCTTCAAAATGTCGGATAAACTCGAAATTTGGTATTATTAAGGACCGATGACAATTCAATATGAAAAAAAATATTGAAAAAATTTCAATTCAACTAAAACCGTATTTTGTTAGTTTTTTTAAACCATTATTTGTTTATTTAGTTGGATTTTCTTTAAAAGCATATTTTGTTAGTTTTTTAAACCTTTATTTATTGTTGGTTATGTTCTTTTTTGATGTTTGTTACTGTCAAAACCAGATTTGTATTACATACAAGAAAATTCAATAAGATCAATAATAAATTACAGTTCCCGAAGCGAAGCGAGAGCGGGTCGCTAATAATACAATAATACTGTATCTAGTGTAATATACCTGGGTCAAGTTTATCTTGAAATCGTCCTTATCGAGATTCAGTGTGCAAAGTGCGAGTTTTTTAACGTTCTCGATAGCGTAAAAGTTAAACGTTATCTACGTTTGCCGCTAGGGGCGCTGTTTCAACTGCATACAAATTGGAGTTAACGTTTACGCTATCATAATCACCATCAGCCTTTATCTAAGTCGTCAGTCCACCTGGTTGGAGGACGCCCCACGCTCCTGGTACCCATCCGTGGCCTCCATTCGAGGACTTTCCTCCTCCACCTGGCGGCGCTGGCTCGACAGATGTGACCGGCCCATTGCCACTTCAGCCTGCTAACTTTGAGAGCTATGTCGTCGACATTGGTTCTCCGTCGAATTTCTTCTTTCTGAATTTACTTATCATCTTATCATCACTTATCATCAGGTGGGCCGTACGCTCGTCTGCCTACAAGGGCAATAAAAAAAAAAAAAAAATGTTCCAAACTATAATGCGGAGTTTACATTACGAAATTAGTGTCATGCATGTTGAGCTCAGTTTCACGAAAGTAGTTTCGATATATGCGAAAGTAATTTCGTGAAAAAATTAGTGTCGCGAAATCCATAGTATCGCAGTAACCATGGCGCCTTCAGCATCAAAGTTATAATTTTCTATATTCAATGCTGTAAAGAAATGCTTATATACCTATAATCTTAAAAAAAGACTATCAAAAAAAAAGTTAGTAGATTCGAGGATGGTCAACAATTTGGTATTTAGGTGCAAAGAAGTTAGTCTCTGAATTAGCAGATGAAGATCCTGAGAGTTATAAAAACTATTTTCGAATGAGTGAAGATAATTTTGATTTTTTACTGTAGGTGTTTCGAGTCCCAGAGACACCCTTGTCGCTGATATTCATTAAGACCTATTTTTTTTTCTGTACTCCATCGTTGGTTTGCCATTTTCAACGCTTAAAGCGCGTCCGAACTAACAATACACACGTCCGCACAGCGTAGGCGCTTTCGCGACATTAGTTTCACGTCGCGTCTACACTATGAAATTAGTTGCATGACACTAATTTCACCAAAAAATCGCGCAGGGCACGAAACTAATTTGCATGCATGAAATTAATGCATGCATTACGAAAGTATTAAATTACACGTGAAACTGTTGGTAAAACTAATGTCACGAAACTAATTTCATACCACTAATTTCGTAATGTAAATTCGCCTTAACTCCTGTTTGCAGGAATCAAACTCCTCACTTCGATCAACCAGGTGGTCCAGCAGAGAGCTGATCTGGAGTCGAACCGTGTGACCTTGAGCGGTTTACTGGACGAACTCAAACGGAAACTGAAGAGGCGAATCGAAGAGTGCCACTTCGAGAAAAAGGACAAATTGAAGGTAGCTTCTTTTGGAGGTCTCGTGGAAGTTAACTGGAACGCTAGGAGCGAAGATGTGTGAATTTGTTTTATTTTGTCCATTTAGTGTTAATTCAGATTTAATTGAGTGATAATGGTGATTTATTCACTGAGTTTGTCGCCGGATCTTCTCAGTGGGTCGCGATTCTGAACACTGGTGGTAGGACGTCTTGAGGCCGCACAGGTAGGTACTACCGCCCTGCCTATTTCTGCCGTGAAACAGTAATGCGTTTCGGTTTGAAGGGTGGGGCAGCCGTTGTAACTATACTGAGACTTAGACCTCATATCTCAAGGTTGGTTGCGGCATTTACGTAGTAGATGTCTATAGGCTCCGGTAATTACTCAACATCAGGTGAACCGTTAGCTCGTCCACCCATTCAAGCAATAAAAAAAGCATACATAATAGTTTGGGGAAAAAGTCTTTTTGCATTATAGTATGTATAAACTTGTAATAACATCTTTTTGGCTATACTATTTGTATCTGGCTGATTTTGGTATCATTAAAAGTTTAAATTTTAAAGAAGATAATTCCAAATTCAAATTAGGAAAATGTGTGATTTTTATTTATTTTTCGTACTGTCAAAGCATGAAGCTGAGAGAAAGCGGCCGGAATTAATCATTTTTTCATCATGATAAGGCTAGATCTCACACATCTTTAGCCACTCAGCAAAAATTAAGAGAGCTTGGCTGGGGGTGTTAACGCATCCGCCGTATAGTCCTGACCTTGCACCTTCAGATTTCTACCTGTTTCCGTCTCTTCAAAATTCTTTAGGCACTGTCCGGTTAACATCACGAGAGGACTGCCAAAACAAATTCTCGCGGTATTTTGATCAGAAGCCCCAAAATTTCTATAGAAATGGGATCATGTCCCTACCTACATAATGGCAAAAAGCTATCGAACAAAATGGTACCTACATAGTTTAGTTAAATGTAAATAAACTATATTAAAAATGTTGTGAATTTTCTTAAAAAATGAGAAAAAACTTTTTCCCCAACCTATTATATACGAATTACCAGTACCAATTACAACGGACAGGCGCTGAAGCAAGCGAACCTTCGGCTCGAGAAGGAAAAGTTCAGCGTCATGTCGGAGATAGACCACCTCAAACGACACCTGGAGAAGGAAACGTCGCATCACGTCCAACACGCCAGAGCTGCCGTGGCGCAGGTAAGGATGAGGGGTCAATTGAAATAGCCATTTTTTTCCCACCTAAACTGATAGCCTTGAGAAGCTATTTCAGCGTAACCTTTACTAGTAGGTGAGCTCACGAGGTTCAAACCTGACGACGTTGCTAACACTGACCCTAGCGAGAGCAGTGCTACGCAGAATCTACCACCGGATCGGAAACGCGACCCACTGAGAAGATCCGGTGAGAAACTCGGTGGGCTGTGTCTGTGAGTTAATTCGCTCGTTGAGCCCTTCGTCGCAAGCGACGGGCTCGACGAACACGATGACCGGTGCTTAAGGAACCTAAAAGTACCGTTAGTGGAAAATAGCCGCGATTGCCTCGCGCCGGCTAGGCTTGCAACTACAATTGAAGTCGTCGTGGCCTAAAGGATAAGACGTCCGGTGCATTCGTATGTAGCAATGCGCTGGTGTGCAAATCCCGCGCCGTGCGCAATTCGCGACTCGTCGAGCCCTTCGTCGTAAGCGGGCTTGCCTAGGATGGTGACCGGAACTATATTCATGTCATCTCTGCAACGCTTTTACAGTCGAAACGACAACTCTAAAATTAACGAGAACATTTCCGATAGTACTATTTGTTTTAATGTCAGTTTCTACTATATGTCGACAGATGGCCTTACTCCTACCGGCATTACAATGTATTTAATTTTATTAAAAAGAAACAATTACTTTTTTTATATCTACAGCTGTACGGCACAAGGTTCTTGTAAATATTCGTCTTATGACAAACTATTTTCTAGGCTATCCAAGGCATAGTGACGAAGGTACCGCCGCCGGAGAGCCTATTCAACAACTGCTCTGTGTCCGACCTACCCAATATGGTCAGCAGGAACGTCGCGAAGAATGCCCCTTCGAGAATCGTGAGTGTTTCCGTTTTTGTTCCTGCTTCGTTTGTCATTGCTTTGTTGATAAAAAGTATGAAAACGATTTCGTAGTTTTTGAATTGATTTTTTTATATAAGTTGATACAAGTTGTCCGTCTGTACTTAAGCAGCGCGTTGTTGTTGGAAGACTCACCGACATAACGCTAGTGTAGGAAGCGGATATTATATGAATATAGCAGTTTGAAACAGAGCGAATTGTGCTGGGTTGAAAAATTTAATATTTTTCATGACTTGTCTAGTTAAAATATGCAATATTCTAAAAATCTCAACTATTTATTTTATATTTTTAATTACGTAGGAATTATTTCTTAACTTCCTAATTTAATATCCCACTCTAATAGTTTATGGCGCTGTTTTTAAAATCCTTCCATTTGCTACTGTGACGCCACCTAAATTGGCTCCCTTTAAGGGGGAACACTTCTTAATACTCTGAGATGGTACTCCGTATTTCTAACCTCCATAGCTTTGAATTCAAATATTTTACCACAGATAGTCAGAATTCTCGCCTAAATTTTACGAAACGTCATCACGGATAGCGCCATTGAAAACCAAAACAGCAGACGAGTCAAACAGTAAAATTCGTTGCTATAGCTTTCGTAACGCTTTCGAATCATTAGATTTTTAATTGGTGATTTAAAGTATAAATTCTAGTTAGTTGACTGACTCTGATGTGCTGGTTTTCGTCCAAATCCAACTATGGATACCACCGTGCATAATGCCATACACACAGCCGAGAACAGAGGAAGATGGTGAAACATAATCCAGAGAAGGATACTTGTTAGGTGATCACGACCCTCTGACATGAGGATTCCGACTTAGGCAGGAGGAGGAGTCATTGGATAATGTGGCGGTAGATAATAATACAACGCAAGATATTTGACAGATGCCTGAATCTCGCTTACGACATTTTCAAGATAAGCTTGCATATATACAAGTTCCCAACGACAACATTTGAACCGTCGGTCTACCGAGCAATATCACCCGCTCGGTGAAAGATCTTCCCTTTGTCGTTTGAACCTCTCCAAAGATAATTTTAAAGTAGTTAAGTTCGCGTTGTTGGAAATGGTTTTTGACATTACATTTGAATTTGAATTTTGGGATGTCTTAGATTTTGTCATTATCTTTTTTCCGTGCTATTGTACGCGAATTATAAAATTCTAAAATATAAAAATTTTATACGTGCAATCCTCGCGTGTTTATTAATTAAGTTCTTTGCCCATCCTAATCATACAGTCCACTACATAAATTGATCTAGGAATTCTTCTGGAACCTTTTCGGTATCCCAGAACTTCGTTATGGTAGTAACAATGTCAGATTCACACGTACATAAAAGTGAAACAATTTTCGTTACATCATGTTGAGGTGGCAGACCACCAGCGATAATGTGACCAAATTTAGTGTTGATAATCTGTGGCGTTCCTTTACTCTGGCTGACCTGGTCGACTGGAGGCTGGCGGCGCGTCGCGCACTTTGAGCTGGTCGTCGCCGGTAACAGTGCAGAAGTAACATCCTCGCTTCTCCTTAGCGGTCGCTGCGTTGACTGCTTTGGTTTTAGCGGTAGGCAGCGGCTTGGCTCTGCCCCTGGCATTGCTGAAGTCCATGGGCGACGGTAACCACTCACCATCAGGTGGGCCGTATGCTCGTCTGCCTACAAGGGCAATAAAAAAAAAAAAAAAAAAAAACAGCTTCGCTTCGGATCGCCAAGCATTCTCCATAGCGAGCGCTCTTTTTTCAAGGAACGCCAGAAGCTCGTCCCGCTCCATTTGCTATTCGCGTGCTGTACGTCCATCTAACTTGCGGGTCAAAATCAACATTAAAATTGGATCCCATTCATCTACCTTCGCCTCCATATTTTTGAGGGCAGCCAACGATTGTTTTACTGTTACTTTTTTTACTTTACTTTTTTCTGTTACTTCTGCACTGTTACCGGCGAAGACCAGCTCGACGTGCGCTACGCGCCGTCAGCCTCTAGTCAATCCGGTTCGAAGGACAAATTTATGTAGTGGACTGTATGATTAGGATTGGCAAGGAACTTGATAAATAAACTCGCAAGGATTGTACGTATACAATTTGTATATTTTAGAAATTTTATAATTCGCGTACAATAGCACGAAAAAAAGAGAATGACAAAATCTAAGACATTCCAAAATTCAAATTCAAAGGTAATGTCAAAAACTACAACCACAACAATAAAAAAGGTTTTATACCAATTTGTTGGGTTTCCAACAGGCGTCATTCGACTCTGTACACAATTATATCAATTCAGATTTACTTTATTGATTACCAATGTCTTTTTTTTCTTTTCTTGCCTATTCTGGTAACTTCGAGGGATTATTCTAGATTCACCGAACTATGACTATAATTAAATCTACATTTATGTTCGGACGATTGTTGTGAATATAATCGTTTCTCTCTCTCACTTGACGTCACTGTCCGCTCTACAGGCTGACAACAAGCTGGCTGCCGCACGTCTGATGCGCGACATCGCCGAGCTAAGACAGCGAGTAGCACAAGTCGAGTACCGGCTAGCCAATGAACTGCGAGTATGTAACCACATACACCTAACCTCCAGTCCTATACTACACTACAACAGACACAGTCCTCTGCAGCTCTGTACTGATCCCGAGCTCTTCTCGTACACAAACAGACACAGATCTGACCTACATCTAGTCTCTAGTCCTATACTACACTACTACAGACACAGTCCACTGCAGCTCTGTACTGATTCCGAGCTCTTCTCGTACACAAACAGACACAGATCTGACCTACATCTAGTCTCTAGTCCTATACTACACTACTACAGACACAGTCCACTGCAGCTCTCTACTGATCCCGAGCTCTTCTCGTACACAAACAGACACAGATCTGACCTACATCTAGTCTCTAGTCCTATACTACACTACTACAGACACAGTCCACTGCAGCTCTGTACTGATCCCGAGCTCTTCTCGTACACAAACAGACACAGATCTGACCTACATCTAGTCTCTAGTCCTATACTACACTACTACAGACACAGTCCACTGCAGCTCTCTACTGATCCCGAGCTCTTCTCGTACACAAACAGACACAGATCTGACCTACATCTAGTCTCTAGTCCTATACTACACTACTACAGACACAGTCCTCTGCAGCTCTGTACTGATCCCGAGCTCTTCTCGTACACAAACAGACACAGATCTGACCTACATCTAGTCTCTAGTCCTATACTACACTACTACAGACACAGTCCACTGCAGCTCTCTACTGATCCCGAGCTCTTCTCGTACACAAACAGACACAGATCTGACCTACATCTAGTCTCTAGTCCTATACTACACTACTACAGACAGTCCTCTGCAGCTCTGTACTGATTCCGAGCTCTTCTCGTACACAAACAGACACAGATCTGACCTACATCTAGTCTCTAGTCCTATACTACATTACTACAGACACAGTCCACTGCAGCTCTCTACTGATCCCGAACTCTTTTCGTACACAAACAGACACAGATCTGACCTACATCTAGCTTCTAGTCCTATACTACTATAAACTTGTCACATTTCCAGCGCAAGAGGCAGGCTGAGCTGGACATCGTGCGTCTAAGGAAGGAGCTATCTGCTACTAAAAGCTGTGTTGCATCGTTGAGATTACCACCACCGCCAATGAGGGCCCAGTGCTCTAAATTCGCTTGACCCATTTGAAAGAATTGAGGACATAGCTTAAAAACTAATCTACCAAAATGTAATATCGAGTATTAGACAAAAATCGTGGGAATTTTATAATAAAAATCAAATCGAGTTGGCTTTTCTTTAGTGCACATTTGATTGGTGTTAATTAGTCTCTCATTGTATTATTATTTGATTGATTATGTTTATGACATTTTTTTGTTGGAACGAAGTTCCTTATCGCGCGCTGTGAAAGGGGGCTAGACGGAAAAAATTCTTACGAAAAGTTGTCACGACACTTTTTAGATCCGTCATTCTGACCTATCAACGTGTAGGCGCTTATCGCGTGACATTGCTCGTATCCGATTGGTCCGCGTAATGAGTACAGTTTGTCGAGATAGCGTTTCAACAATAGTAATTTAGTTCATAGTATTGTTTTTTCTTCTTCATAATGCCGTAATTTATTATTATAACTTAAAAATTTAAAAAATTACAATTCCTTCACTAATTAATCGAAAGGAACTTCGTTCCATCCGGGTGTCCCTTGACACCTCTGAAGTTTTTTTATCACCCTCGAAACCCGATTAACTTCTAGGGGCTATTCTGGCTTCGCCTTGGTTGCTGGACAAACACCCTGGGTTCAGCCCATAGATAATACCCATAAGTTCATCCTGAGAGCCGCGTTTCGCTTAATCTACCACAGCATCGGAATCGCGACCCACTGAGGAGATCCGACGACAAACTCAGTGGCTCTCTTATAGGGATTAAGTTGGATCGAATAACTTGGATCGGGGGTTTATATGGATGCAAACTGCGTGAGCGAACACTGCACTTACATAAGTCATGACCGTACCTAGTACCTACATGTGCAAGCTTTGTTAAGCATCACCCAGTTACGAAGGGACAAGTTACTTCACTTGTAGATCTTGGGATAGAGTCGACGTGGTAAGAATGTGGCTTGATTGCGGACTAATTTGATAATTTTTTTAAGGGTTTTTATGACCTGGTAACTAAGACCTTTAAGTCATGTCTTATTTTAATTTATATTGTTATTTTTATGAAAAATGATAATAAGGAGTGAAATGTAATGATAGGAAGTGATCAATTTGAGACATTAATCAACTGGGTGAAATGAAATGAGATTAAATGATATAGAATGAAATATAATCTCAGTAAAATGGTGGTCATTTACTTTTTGGAGGACCCCGAAAAGTTCACAAATATTAAACGGCTAAAAACCACCGTTATTACACATTTGAACCTGAAGGAACACTAAGCATACAAAATAAAACAAATCCCACAACTTCACTCCTCGCTTTCTCGCCAAAAAGTATACTAATTTGATATGGGGACGGATCTAAGCTATAACGTCAGCCTGCTGAGTTTCTCGCCGGATCTTCTCGGCGAGTCGCGGGGGACAGATTTCATATTTATCTACCTTTTAAACCTTCTCTGGACTTCCACAAATAATTCAAGGCAAAAATTAGCCAAATCGGTCAGCCGTTCTCGAGTTTTAGCGAGACTAACGAACAGCAATTCATTTTTATATATATAGATAGATGAAGCTACCTACTTAGGAAGCCATAGGAGCGTTGAGCTAACGATGTAGAGACAAATACCTATAGAAATCATTAAAACAAAAAATGAGGTACATATTTCGAATTAATAAAAAAACAAAACCCAAATCAAAGTTCCTTTATACTTAACAAACAACGTACAAAATACAAAAACATGACATACAACATTAACTATGAGTAAAATTTACGAATAAAAATAATTATCGCGATCACGGCTTATGGTAACGCCGACACCGTCAAACTGAAGCGATAATACAAAATCTATTTTAACGTACTACCTACGAATTAAGGAGGGTAGAGGTAAGTAGCACACTTATCTGTGTATAAAATAGCGTCCGTCGAAAAGCGACCGATCAGCACGGCGTCATTGTAGCGAGTCGTCTGATTTTAAAGATGGCGTCAAAGTTATCATACTGATACTGATAATAAAATGTTTAACTCTACGCACTTTATTCCGATTCACAACCGCTACATCCACATCACACAGCTTGCAACGCTGCGTTGTGCTGATGGAATGCTGACTGGAAATACGCCACTCACAGCCGGACACGCATTCAACTTGTCCCTCATATAAGAGAACTCTCCTTACCTCTACCCTCTATAATGTAAGCACACCGGTAATTTTGGTGGGAAAACTCGAAATTTTGAAGTTCGAAAAACTCGACTGTCACTTGTCACGCATTTTCGGCGGCCGCTTTATGGAGGGTAGAGGTAAGGAGAACCGACTCATATGGGAGAAGCTTGAAAAAGTGTCCCACTTTCAGCACTAAATAACAGTTCACAAATCCTCCAGAATGGCGCTAGCATAGGCACAGGGTATAATATAAATTGAGCAGTTGTTAACTGATTGAAGTATGCTGAGTTAGGAAAATTTAACATATTTAATGACTAGAGTAGTTAGTGACAGTGTAATATACAAGACCTCACATGTTTACGTAGTCCAAACTAATTTCGTCAATATAACCTAAAATTATGGCTGTGGCAAAACGTGGAGACATCGATTGCATTTTCTTAACAGCTTTAACTAAAATACTTTTTTGTGAATTTGTAGTGCTTACAGTTCTTTCGTCTTTTTTTATTTCTCTATCTTATTCTAATAACATTGAGCGCGTTTTTAAAATTTACCCGGTTGCTACTGTAGCGCCACCCGTATTTAGCAGATTTTAACGGACACTTTTTCACACACAGAGACGGTTCTCCTTACCTCTACCCTCCATAGGCCGCTTGCTAGTGTCGGCTTGCGTTCCCTTGGTGCGCCGATAGATGCTTGTCCAAGAAGAATTTCGTCTTCATATCCCTCCCGCATACCTTGCAGATCGTATAGACTTTATGAGCGATCCTCATGTGATTCAAATACTCACGGACGTCCTTGTGTCGTTTGAGGCACTGCAGGCATTCGTATTTGTCGAGGGCGCGGGCTTTTGGGTTGGCGGCTCGAATTTGAGCAGCCTTTTTTGGCTGTATACGTAATCTGAAATCGAATACAGCATCACGGATAAGTTGGAGTTCGGTGTGCTTAGTGCGAGTTTTTTAACGTTCTCGATCACGTAAAAGTTAACTCGTTTGTCGCTAGGGGCGTTGTTCTAACTCCATAAAAAAATGAGTTAACTTTTACGCGATCGAGAGCGTTAAAAAGTCGCACTAAGCACACGGCGGTAGCTGGTGTTGCAAGTATAGGTGAGCTAATCTATACTAATATATAAATCTACAATGGTTTTTACGGATGTTCCGTTATAACTACTGAACCATGCATCCGATTGACTTGAAACTTGGTACCCATGTAGGAAATATACGTACTTAATGTATAGGCTAATATTTATATAAGTGTTGGACTCCCTGCACCAGTTGCTGGGGCGTTAATGATAAGAATCTTTGTGGGGATGAGAAATAATAATGTTAATTTTAAATGCCCAGCGAAGCGGACGAGTACAGCTAGTAAATACATATAAACTGCCTATTCCTATACGAAAATAATAATTTAATAGGATCACAGACTCATTCCGGTTCAATTTTTAATTTTAAGCATAGTATTTATTGAATTATAGAAGATTTTACAAACACGACACTGGCAACATTGACCTCGCCAAAAACCTGTGGAGAGTAGAAGTAAGCAAGGAGGACCGTTTTGTATAGGGGATAATTTGATAAAGTGTCCGTCTGTAAACATCAAGTCGTTGTTAGAAGACTCACCGATATTAGTGTAGCAAGTGGAAATTATGTGAATATAGCAGTTTTCAACAGAGCGAAGTGTGCCGGTTTGAAACATTTAATTAAGGTTATTCGCTACTTATGCAGTTAAAAAGTATGCAGTATTTAAAATCACAACTATTTATTTTTACTAGAGGTCCCGCAGTAGTCGAAATTCGACTATAATTAATTGGAATTGTATAATAAATTTGTACACTATTATGATTGTATTTTATACTTCTATCACTAATTTCGCCAAGGCTACACTATAAAAAATATTAATAAACACAAACAATATTTAATGTATTCTCAATTTGACCACAGACGTCAAGAACAAAAGTTTGACAATTAATAGTATTCATGCATGTGTGCGTCAAATACATGGTATGTAGTGTGTGTAGTGTTTTCTTTATTGATTTAATGTATCTTTAATGCATTATTTTAACCAAATATTAGCATAGTGCACTTCTTCTCTATAATCTCTATAAGTGTGGAAAATTTCATACTCCTCCGCCCGCACAATTTTCGTAAAAAGGGATACAAAGTTTTTGCTTCACGTATTAATAGATAGATTACTATTTACGTAGAAAGTGTTTCTTTCTTTCTTAATTTAGTATGCTACTTTAATAGCTTATGTCGCTGTTTTCAAAATATCTCCACTTGCTACTGTGGCGCCACCTTAATTGGCTTCCTTTCAACGGACACTTTTTAATACACTGAGCTGATCCTCTTTACTTCTAACCTCCATACAAAAGCCATATGAAAAAAAAAGAAGGCAAAGACATTTAATAATCTCACCGGCTTTTCCCTCGTAAATCGGCTTCAACGTGCAACTCCAAATGCGCCTTCATCATCTTCGAAGGGACCAGAATGTCGCAGCGCTTGCACAAACTGCTCCTGTCCCCCTCCTTCTTGCAGCGAGAGCAGGTAAACACTTTTTCATCGTCCATGTTCACGATCATAAAATACTTTTGCCCGCAAACCGAACAGATCAAATGCTTGCGCTTGTAACGTTGGCAGCACTGGCGTTGTTTTCGCGGTTCTTTTTTCCCGATGTTGACGTTTGTCCGTTTTGTTGGCTGCCCGTTCGTTGCATTTTGTTTTTTCAACGTTCTCGTTGACGGATTCGATGTGGCTGTCAAATTGTTTTTTTTTTAATACCAAAAAAAGGTAAAGGTAAGGAGAACGGCCTGTGTGTGTGAAAAAGTGTTCGTTAAAATCTGCTAAATAAGGGTTGCGTTACAGTAGCTACCGGGTAAATTTTAAAAAAGGCGCTTAATGTTATTAGAATAAGATAGAGGCATAAAAAAGGACGAAAGAACTGTAATCACTAGAAAATCGCAAAAAGTATTTTATTTAAAGCTGATAAGAAAATGCAACCGATGTCTCCACGTTTTACCACAGCAATAATTTTAGGTTATATAACCTAAAATTATCGTACGTACGTAATTACGTAGTCCAAACTAATTTCGTCAATATTGACGAAATTAGTTTGGACTACGTAAACATGTGAGGTCTTGTTTATTACACTGTAACTAACTACTCTAGTCATTAAATATGTTAAGTTTTCTAACTCAGCATACTTCAATCAGTTAACAACTGCTCAATTCATACCCTGTGCCTATGCTAGCGCCATTCTGAAGGATTTTTGAACTGTTATTTAGTGCTGAAAGTGGGACACTTTTTCAAGTTTCTCCCATATGAGACGGTATTCCTTACCTCTACCCTCCATACGGTAGGCAGCGGCTTGGCTCTGCTCCTGGCATTGCTGAAGTCCATGGGCGACGGTAACCACTCACCATCAGGTGGGCCGTATGCTCGTCTGCCTACAAGGGCAATAAAAAAAAGAAAAATACAAATGCAGCGTGACATACGACCAAAGATTCTTTATGTGAATGCGTGTGCGAAAAATATGTAATTTTTAATAGGTACCCTTTTATTAGCTTCATACGTATGTTAGAATGTATGTAACGGAATCTTTTAACATAATTTTTTTGATACCTTTCTAAACGTCGGATTACCTCGAAATTTGGCATTTTTATGAAGGACCGATGACAATTCAATATTTTAAACAGTTCAACCCGTTATTTACTTTCGGCAGTCAAAACAACAAATTCATTAGAGCGTCTTATTTTTTTCACTTAGCAAATTGGAAACTGTTGTTTTTGCCTGAATGTACATTAATGAATAATTTATGATACATAATGTTATTAAAACTAAAAAATTAAAAATAAATAATAGTTTAACAAAAAAACACGCTTTTATAGAAAATTCGACTAATAAAATATAAAATATAAAATATAAATATATGTAAAAAAAGCGTGGGGTGCTTTTTTAGATATTATCAAAATGATAATCCTTTTACTCATATCTGTCAATAAAGTATTTATAATTATCGATACCATGCACCCCACGCTTTGCTTACAATAAATTTAATTTATATTTTCTAGTTGAATTTTCTATAAAAGCGTGTAATTTCGTTTTTCTTAAACTATTATTGGAACGAAGTTCCTTATTGCGCGTTGTGAAAGGGGGCTAGACGGAAAAAATTCTTACGAAAAGTTGTCACGACACTTTTTAGATCCGTCATTCTGACCAATCAACGTGTAGGCGCTTATCGCGTGACATTGCTCGTATCCAATTGGTCCGCGTAATGAGTACAGTTTCTCGAGATAGCGTTTCAACAATAGTAATTTAGTTCATAGTATTGTTTTCTTCTTCTTCATAATGCCGTAATTTATTATTATAACTTAAGAAAAAAAATTACAATTTATTCACTAATTAATCGAAAGGAACTTCGTCCCATCCGGGTGTCCCTTGACACCTCTGAAGTTTTTTATTTATTTTATGTACCTTTTATATTAAGAAGATATTAGTCTTACAATTTGCAACTACTTAATTGCCGGACAATTAAATTTGAATTCAAATAAAATCAGTAATCTCTTGATTTTTTTTTTGTGAGTTATAGATAGATTTAAAACTACATTAAAGACTTAAATTCGTATTTATTACTGTCATCATGATTAGTCGATTCAAACGCTTCGAATATTTTACAATTTTACGTGTTCACAGATTATGGCGGTCACTCTTAAAAGTGCTTATAATTATGTACCAAATTCAATGCGGTTTAAAACTAATTAAATACGTGACGGATTTTTATTGGGGAACTTGTTGAATGAATTCGCTATGGGCCACGGAAAACGCAGCTGGGCCACTTATAGGCGAGCTAGTCCCAACGATGCGACACCCCTAGATCCTTTGGAGACTAGGGAGGGAAGGGTTATCACGTAGTTTGCCCAAAGAACTTGGTAGCAAATTACCTTCAGTCAAGGTATTGTCCAAAGCAGCCTGCACCAGAGCCTTCATACGATCCGCGTTTCTCAACCTTATAACACAACTCTCACATAGCAGCCAATTCAATGATTTCACCTGAAAAAAAAAAGACATCATACTGCCAATATACAAGATGTCACACGAATCACGGGATACTGAATATTTCTTTTCTTTTTTAAGTATGGCAATCGACTTCGTGCGACGCCATTGATGGCAAATCTAATTTAAAAAGAAAATCTATTAGCATACATACTGGTAGTTTTCCAATTACAGAGCATAATGCGACTCAGTGACGCACAATGCCGAATTATGCTGAAGCTTAATTGGAACGTGAATTAGTTTTCAAATGCATCAGCAGAGTGCGCTAAGTTAGCACAGTTTTAATTAACATTGATTATTTCTAAGAAACTACGACGAAACGAAAGCCTTACAATTTTTTTCAACATTAAATAATATTACTAACGATAATATAAACAAAATTTCGATCAATGCCAACTTAAAGAAAAAACACTTGTCAATTTTTTGTCACTGAGTCGGTATCGATTGCGAGTATCAAGCGAGAGCAGTACTTTTGAGAGTGCTCGATTGTGCGAAGCGTTGCTGTAGTTGGAACATTCAACGTTGAGCATTATGCCGCATAATGCGCTCTTGTGCTGTATTTGGAAAACTACCACTCTGTTCGATTTAAATTTAAATGGAGCGAAATGGCTTAAAAGTCACGTTACTAGGCCATAAAATCTTCAAACAAAAAATTGAAGCGATATGCTACATACGCGTAATGTAAATTTTTAGTTGAATCAGTCTATCAAATTTAATTTTCTTAACGCTTTTACAACAAATTATAACATGTCGTTGAAAGAATTTTTACGACTTTTCAATTGTCTGGGTGCTATAATAGATAGCGGCTCTGATTGTTACGCCGATATTCGCGGGTTCAGTGTGTTTAGTGCGAGTTTTTAACGTTCTCGATAGCGTAAAAGTTAACTCTAATTTGTATGGAGTTGGAAAGATTACCTACGTTTGCCGCTAGGGGCTCTGTTTCAACTGCATACAAGAGGTAACTCCTACGCTATCGAGAACGTTAAAAAACTCGCACTAACCTCACAGCTCCCGCATTAGGCCAACATTCTGTGATGAGCCGATTTGTTTGCTCTTCTTCTGGGTGTTAATTATCTTTAAATCTATGGGATTAGCTCAAAGTAACATAACACAGTTTGGAAAAGTAACAAAATTTATTATTTTAGCACACGTCACATAATTCACCGTAATTGTTCACCTTCCAATACTCGATCGCCATCTTGACATCTCTCTTCCGTCCCTTTCTTCCCCATACATTCATCCCTGTCACTCTAAACGTTCCGTTTCCCACATTTATGTATAAATTTAAACGTACATAAGTATTTTTATAGTCTCTTCTACCCAAAACACAGGGAATTACAATTTAGGGCGGGATGGACAGTGAGTAATTGTTAAAAAAACAACTGAACTCAACAACCCACCTCAACATCAAAACAGTCGCGCAACAGCTGAGCGTAAGTCAAGTTGCCGTCCCACGAGCAACTGTCGCCGAAAGCTCGCAAAAGCTCGTCACCGTCGCAGAGGCGACAACGCGCCAGAGTTGGCCGACAGCCACGCGACGCTTCGACGTTCGCCGATATAGATTCCTAAATCACATTACACTTCAGTTGAATAATCAAAAAATTTTACGAAAACAGAACAGTGTGCTTAGTGTGAGATTCTTAACGTTCTCGATAGCGTAAAAGTTAACTTCACTTAAAAGTAAACGTTTTCACGAAATTGTATTCTCCAATTCTGAGGGGAATTCCTTTTTAATTTATCTAATAGTTTATGGCGCCGTTTTTTTGAATCATTCCACTTGCTACTGTGGCGCCATCTTAATTGGCTACTTTTCAGCGGACACTTTTTCATACACTTAGATGGTGTTCCTTACTTCTACCACCCATAGCAGATTCAGCGAAGCACTGCTCTTGCTAAGGCTAGTGTTAGCAATTCATTCAGGTTGAGTCCGTGAGCTCACCTACCGGTGCACGTGAAGGAATAGCCCCTTAGACAACCAGCAATTAGGTAGGCGAAAAAAAAGATGAATTATACAAATCTGATCGACAGGTTTTGCTTGGAGATGTTCTCTCCCGACCAACTAACGGTGCTTTTAGGCACCTCAAGCACCGGTCACCGTTCTCATCGTAAATTACCCACAGACATAGCTCACTGAGTTTCTCGCCGGATCTTCTCATTGGTTCGCCTTTCCGATCCGGTGGTAGATTCTGCAAAGCACTACTTTTGCTAGGACCATTCTTAACAACGTCCTAGGTTAGAGCTCCGTGAGCTCACCTACTCGTTTAGTGAATCTAATATGACCCTCGAGGTCACTAGTATAGGTAGGGAATAAATAAAAAAAGAAATGTTCACGTCATAACGGCACATTATTCCATCAACAGTCCTGCGGTTATATTACTTAAAGTTAAATTAAAACAATAAAAACTACACTAACAGCACTGAATATCTTGTGTAATTTATCCTTCGTCCAAATAACATTCATTGCCATGAATTTCGTGTAGTGAATAATACGCTTCGAAAAAATTAATTTAATCCTGTACTGTATTGTGGTTAATTTATACTAAAAGATTGCTGATTTTTGAGGTAAATCTAAAAAACGTAGTGAAAGTATGTATACACTATATTTGACAGATGCCTGAATCTCAAACTCTAACGACATTTCCATGATAAGTTTGCATATGACATTAAAACAAGCTCCTTTTTTTCCCTACCTGAGGCTATATCAGCTTCTCCTTGACGTGTAGGTGAGCTCACGGGGCTCAAACCGGGTGTGTTGCTAACACTGGCCGTAGCAAGAGCACTGCTTCGCAGAATCTACCACCGGACCGGAAACACAACCCACTGAGAAGATCCGGCGAGAAACTCAGTGGGCGGCAAGCTCCGAACAACAAAATTCGCAGTGACGGATCATCAACCGATTTTAACAGCTCTATGGAAGATCTTCTCTGTGCCGTTAACCCTCAAATGTTATTATATAAAGAACTGACTGACTTCGAACGTCCTGAAAACTTTGTAACCTTTACCTCGCCGGTCGAATGAATAACCCTTTGAGAATACTAGCGTAGGTAGGCAAAAAAAAAACAATTCACTACGATTGGGCCGCTCTAGTTGGTAGCTTTTCGACGGACAATTTTTCACACACAAAGAGTTCGCTCCTTACCGCTTCCTTTCATAAATTCAAAGTAGATGTAAAATATTCGCCTTTTCTGTTTGATAAATGGAACTACCAATTGACGATTGCTAGCTGTCAGACTTTTGGCGAGATTGCGAGACGCAAAATCCGGTGAATTGCTTTAATTTATTAATTTAGTGATTAAGGTTCAGGCTTAAATGTATAATGACGGTGCCTTAATATTAGGTGACATACGTGAAAATGCACAAATGTGAGAAAATGAAACAAGTTGCTTTCAAAAGGCCACAAAAATATTGAACAAACATCTCATCTCATTTAACTTCATCCCAATTGATTAACGTCTCAAATTAATCAATCAATCAAACCATTCGTAAGACAGAATACACAAAATATGCAGTATGGCTGTATGGTATGATACCTTCGCTTTTCTATTTGGAAAAATACAAGTGACAGAACAGTTCATTTTTTGTTGACAAGCAAACGTCTACCTCGCACACTGACCTCGCACTTCCGTGCGTAAAAATTGACATCTGTGTTCATTGTTGTTATTTACTGTCATATTTACAAGATAATTTTGCGAAATTACCACAAAGTTAATTATTAAATGAAACAAACGGACACCATTTATACTTGTGGTATTATAACGCGCTCTCAAAAATACAGAAAATCTAAATGAAACATGGGCGGGAAAGCGGAGAAAGGTACTCCGAAATACATCGCGAACAAAATAAAGGCTAAAGGCCTCCAGAAGCTGCGCTGGTACTGCCAGATGTGTCAGAAACAATGCCGCGACGAGAACGGCTTCAAATGCCACACGATGTCGGAGTCGCATCAGCGTCAACTGCTTCTATTCGCCGACAACGCTTCCAAGTACATCGATCAGTTCTCCAAGGAGTTCTCTGACGGCTACGTCGATTTGCTCAGCAGGCAGTTCGGTACGAAGAGGGTGAATGCTAACAAAGTCTACCAGGAGTACATTTCTAACAGGTAAGGGGCGTCTGTAAAATGAACGATTTAGTTTGAGGAGTTATAAAAAGAAACATGTTTCCGCTAACCCGTGCTTCAGTATAAGACTCTGCATCCTTATTGTTGTGTTTCTTCTAACAGCTGTGTGTATAAAATATATTAAATAAATAAAAGGCAAAACTTTCCTTTTGGGTCCATCGATTTGGAAGTTCACAATATTAGTTGTAGATAGTACTCATAAATAAAAAGCTTTTTGCAAAATTTCAAGTTGCAGAGACTCACGGCTTACGAGATATAATTTTTTAAAGTTTCCGTAAATATTAGAAAAATCGTCAAGGTAGATGTCACATTTGACGTTTCACATTCCATTCACGGTAAGCGTGTATTTTGTCAAATTTTATGTCATGTTTTTACTGAAATATATTTTATTATTTTAATATATTCACATAGTAAGGGTGGGAATGGTGCAGGGGGTAAACCCTTACCCTCCCTCCCCCACCCCCACCCTGACCCAAAAATCGACAGACCCAAAAGGAAAGTTTAACCGCAGATCCCAATTTTTTGAGTTTGATTATGAAAGTAATGGCCGGCAACACTTAACACATGTAAGGTTACAGATTTCGAATATTGGAATTATTTTAAATGTTTGAAACAAATAATTGTCTTCTTGTCAGTGAAGACAATGACTTCTCATCTAGACACAGTCAGAGCAACATCTAAGAGTTTTATAAAGATAAAATATTATAATAGTGTAACAGTGTACAAAGTATTTGGAATATAATTATAATGGAGCAGAGTGTTTTTTAAATAACCCCTCATCACCTACAGAACCCAGTCCCCTCAACACTCTGTACTCTGTATCCTTATTGTCGTGTTTCTTCTAACAGCTGTGTGTACAAAATATATTCAATAAATAAAATAAAAAAAGACGCCTTGTGCATTCATTTAGAGCAATGTGACAATACTGGTGTTTGAATCCTGCAGGCAGGTCCCAAATTTTCTGATAAAATATGTACTTTACTTATACAAGAATGACTTCCACAGTGAAGAAATAGCACTGTGTAACAAAAATAGAACTTTCATTAATTTGTGTAATTACTAATGGCAGGAGGTTTTGTGAGCCAGCACGGATAGGTAGCAGTGTCTTACCTATTTCTCGAACTCAGGTGGATGATGGCATTTACATTGTTGATGTCCATGGGCTCTGGTAACCACTTTATAAGTGGACTGTGTTTTCGTCCACCCATCTTTCAAGCTTTCTATATTACAAGCAACTACTATCTTCAAAGATATTCACACTGTTTGCTTGTTGCCAGAGATCACCTCCACATGAACGCAACGCAGTGGGAGACACTAACCGACTTTGTGAAATGGCTCGGTCGTGAAGGGAAGTGTGTTGTCGATGAAACCGAGAAGGGATGGTTTGTTACATACATAGACAGGGATCCTGCAGCAATCGCCGCCCAAGAAGCAAAGGCCAAGAAGGAGAAGATGGATAAGGATGATCAGGTACAGTGCAACTTGGTGTGTGGTAAATGACTGTATGGCTATGTAGTGTATTAGTGAGGGTACTTGTTCTCCTTTTGATAAAAGGACTGATAAGTGCAGGCTGTATAAAAACAGACACACAATGAACTGATTTGTTACCCAACACATGTGCTTAAGTTCATTATCTATTGTCTATATATATAAAAATGAATTGCTGTTCGTTAGTCTCACTAAAACTCGAGAACGGCTGGACCGATTTGGCTAATTTTGGTCTTGAATTATTTGTGGAAGTCCAGAGAAGGCTTAAAAGGTAGATAAATATGAAAATGCGCGGAATTAAATAAAAATAACAATTCTGTTTTTCATTTGATGTGTCCCCCCTCGAACGGATTCCTTTTGTTTGTTTTAAGTTTATTTTATACAAAAGTTTAGGTCTTTTATTTATCGATTGATGATGATTTATCAAAGGTACCAAGAAGTCTGCTGGGTCATGTAGTTAAATTATAAAACGTAATAGGCTACAAACAAGGGCACTATCAAACTGCCTTATATCGAAACTTTTCAAAGTCATTTGGAGAAGGTATTATGCACTACTGGAGTGACATTCTGGGGGTAAACAAAAAAGGGAATCATGTAATATTGTTCAGTAAACCAACGGTCTAAATGTTGTTTTGTCAGAAGGTTCAGTTATGCATGTTTACAGTTTAGCCTGCACATTATACTTCTTTTTATGACAAGTAGTATAAGCTCCCTCAACAGACTGCCTGTAATCTAATTAAATGTATAATGATGAACCTAATCGCAATTCTGTGTCAGACGGAATGGACAAGTTTTTTTCACTGGCTATATTTTGTATTGCAGGAAAGAATGTTGGAATTCATACAGAAGCAAGTGGAAAAGGGAAAAAAGGAGAATGATTCAAATATTGAACCAACGTATACGGAGCTCAAGAGAGAGAGTAGTCAGGAGCGATTGACCTTTAATCTCAACTTGAAGAGGAAAAATGAAGGTAGCACATATTTTTCCCCTACATAATCATTGATAGCCTAAGGGGTTATTATAACTGCACACAGACCGGCAAAGTACAGTACTATTGAAGCCAGGCAAATCTTTGTTGTGATTATTTGGCCTATGATGAACAAGCTCACCGCAAACCTGATGATAAGTGGTCACAGGTGCCCATAGAGATGAGTTGATATATAGTATAACAGTTTATCTTTTTAAACCAGAAAGCAATATTGCTTCGTGGTAGGAAATAGCCATGGTGGTGATAGCCATGTATTTGAGCTCATAAGATGCCTTTCCACCAGTACAGGGTTTCCAAATCTATCATCCTTTCAACAAAACTTTTTTTATTGCTTAGTTGGGTGGAAGGACTCACGACCCACCTAATCTTCAGTGGTTACTGAAGCTCGTAGACATCTACAACGTAAACGCCGCCACCCACCTTGAGATATAAGTTCTAAGATCTCAATTATAGTTACAACGGCTGCCCCGCCTTTCAAAGCGAAACGCATTACTGCTTCACGGCAGAAATAGGCAAGGTGGTGGTACCTATTTGTGCAGACTCACAAGACGTCCTACCACCAGTAAAATTTCATAACTTTGTTTTTTGTAGATAAAAAATCCGAGGTCCTGTCATCTTCGGCCTTGAAATCTCTGAAGAGTAAAGAGGATAGTAAGAGAATTAGAATAGAGGAGTCCACGAGCAGACAGTCAGCGCTCGATGAAATCATGAAAATGGAGGAGAAAGCTAAAGAGAAAGCTAATAGGTGAATATTCAGACCGCTTACATATAATATATGTGGGAGATTTGGTTTTTTTTCATTGCTTTGATGGGTGGACGGGTGAACCCATCTTAGGATATAAGTTCTAAGATCTCAGTATAGTTACAACGGCTGCCCCACCCTTCAAACCGAAACGCATTACTGCTTCACGGCAGAAATAGGCGGGGTAGTGGTACCTACCCGCGCGGACTCACAAGAGGTCCTATCACCACTAAAAACCAGGTTAGGTAGTAGTACCTAAAGACCTTGATAGTAAATTACCTTCAGTCAAGGTATTGTCCTACCACCAGTAATTACGCAAATTATAATTTTGCGGGTTTGATTTTTATTACACGATGTTATTCCTTCACCGCGGAAGTCAATCGTGAACATTTGTTGAGTACGTATTTCATTAGAAAAATTGGTACCCGCCTGCGGGATTCGAACACCGGTGCATCGCTTCAACACGAATGCACCGGACGTCTAATCTGTTAGGCCACGATGACTTCAAAATTTTGGACTTTAAACAGACAATTTTCTGTTTAAATTTTGCACTTCCTTCACTTTTACAGCACTTTCCGGTAATGCTATTTATTAAGTTTTTTAAATTTAGCCTATTTATTAGCTGGATAGTTATTGGAAAATCGTCGATCTTTTAAAGTTAAGTCATTTACAAAGTATATACACTATAGTATCCGCTACGTACTTTTAAGATATTGAGTAAAATATCATCAATGAACACTTTATGACGCCATTTTATTGGCGATTCCATTTTATTACTTTAATATTAGAAACACCTGAAATATTAGTATGAGGGATTCGTTGTTAAGTCGTGAATCTGAATTAGATAAAAGCTACTTATTAGTAAATTGGACGATTTAGCTTGAGAAAATACAGTACGGCGCTAGTCTAGTGGTATATAAATCCTCCTGATCCACTAACGGTGCTTCTAGGTACTTCAAGCACCGGTCACCGTTCTCGTCGAACCCGTCGCTTGCGACGAAGGGCTCGACGAGTAAATTAACTCTCAGACACAGCCCACTGAGTTTCTCGCCGGATCTTCTCAGTGGGTCGCGTTTCCGATCCGGTGGTAGATTCTGCGAAGCACGACTCTTGCTAGGGTTCNTAGTAAAAGCGGTGGTGGTGGTGGTGGTGGTAGTAATAGTGGTGATAGTGGCGGTAGTGGTAGCAATAATAGTAGTGGTGGTGGTTCTTGTAGTAATTGCGGTGGTGGTGGTGGTAGTGGTAGTAGTAATAGTGGTGATAGCGGTGGTAGTGGTAGTAGTACTAATAGTGGTGGTAGTGGTAGTAGTACTAATAGTGGTGATAGTGGTAGCAATAATAGTGGTGGTGGTGGTTCTTGTAGTAATAGCGGTAGTAGTGGTGGTGGAAGTAGTAGTGTGGTGATGGTGATAGCACTATTAATATTAATAGTATTTGAATCTATACTTTTTCATTATGTAATTTGATTGAATAAGTGATTTTATAATTTTTCATTGTTATTGGATTATTATAAAATTTTGAATGAATTTTAATAAGTTTTAAAATTTAAAGATGTCACCTATATCACACTTTTATTTGTTCGTATAATCATGATGACATTTATCACGTGCCTTCTTATCGATTCGTCGATGTTCTGAATTGGCGATCGATCTCGTTCATAAAGCTAATTAAATGAATAGATAATTACAGTAGTGGCTTACGCGAAGACGTGTTGGTACTGTTATATCGTCTTCTCGCATTAAAACTGTATAATCTCAAAACTTACTAATTTTACAGGAGAGTGTTTTAAAGGTTTAATTGACATGTGATATTTTTAGTATTAATCATCTTTGCAACATTTGTTTTTTTATTTTTACAAGTTATACATGATTTGTCTTTTAAAGTAAGATAAAATTATGTATTCATTTTGTTAATAGTAGTCAAAATATAGGTAAACTAATAAAAAAAAAAAAAAAACTAAACTACGCTCTTTTGACAGTATTTATGAGAAAAATACTGGTGATTCCAAATGATTCCGCATATTAACTCAATTTCCCATATTTTTGGAAATTGTACACTTTTAATGCGAAAAGACGATATCTCTGTACTGAACCTTAAAACGCTGATACCCTCGGATCGCTGACTAGATGGTCCGAGGCAAGGACTTCAGAGGAGACCGGAAAATGATCACTAGCAGGGCTCTGAAACTATATAGCCTCTCAAGCCTATCAGCATAGGTAGGAAAAATAAGCGATACTTTAAGAAAAATAGCTTTTTGTATGGAAACTAGCGACATCTTGTAGCGGAAGCCCCCAAACTTATATGTTGTTAAAGTTAAGGCATTTAATAGTAGTATAACTACTAAACACGGAAAAAATATATTGAAAAAATTGAAATTCAACTAAAAAATGAAAAATAAATAATAGTTGCAAAAAACTAACAAAATACGCTTTTATAGAAAATCCAACTGAAAATTAGAAAATAAATTTTAATAAATTTGAATTAAAAATAGTGTAAGAATAAAATGATTTTATTGTAAAAAAGCGTGGGGTGCTTTTCAGGATATTATCAAAATAACCCTTCTACTCATATCTGTTCATAAAATATTTATAACTACTGATACCACGCACCCCACGCTTTTTTTACTATGGGAATATGGGAATATGCCCAAAACGTCAGTGCAAGAGAAGGAAAACTCGAAATTAACCCTGTACCAACCCGTCTAGCCAGCGTGGTACAGCAGGCTAAATACCTCCATGAATAGTCTTTATTTGTTAGATAATATAGACAAATTGATTAAATTTTATCAATTAGTGATTTCTGAAAATTTACAAGATCCTTCATTAAAAATAAAATATAGGGGAGGTAATATGTTACTGCCATCTACAGGAGCATTGAAGCGAAGCCATCTAGTGGCCGACGCCCATAAACATTTTTTTTAAATATTTTTTTATGGCTTAGATGGGTGAACGAGCTCACAGCCCACCTGGTGTGTTAAGTGGTTACTGGAGCCCATNCAATTAGTGGTTTCTGAAAATTTACAAGATCCTTCATTAAAAATAAAATATAGGGGAGGTAATATGTTACTGCCATCTACAGGAGCATTGAAGCGAAGCCATCTAGTGGCCGACGCCCATAAACATTTTTTTTAAATATTTTTTTATGGCTTAGATGGGTGAACGAGCTCACAGCCCACCTGGTGTGTTAAGTGGTTACTGGAGCCCATAGACATCTACGACGTAAATGCACCACACACCTTGAGATCAAGTTCTAAGATCTCAAGTATAGTTACAACGGCTGCCTCACCCTTCAAACCGAAACGCATTACTGCTTCACGGCAGAAATAGGCAGGGTGATGGTACCTACCCGTGCGGACTCACAAGAGGTCCTACCACCAGTAGAAACATTTTTGTTGAGTGCTCGAGTTGCTTATCTGTAACTACTTTATGTGTATTGACTTTAACAGCATATAAGTTTAGGGGTATCCGCTACAAGATGTCGCTAGTTTCCATACAAAAAATATTTGTCTTAAAGTATCGCAGTTTCTACTACTACTACTACTGGTACTACTGCTTTTGGTACTAGTAGTATCGACACCCGTTTTCGTTGTTTAACAATAGATGGCGTTACTGGTAGCGCTATAAAACTAAGCGTGTCTAATACGATTGTCAATAGAATCATCTGGAGACTGTGGTGCCATCTTGCGGCCGTAAAGTTCGCGTCGTGAACGGAGCGTACCGGGGGTGCGTGGGCACGCTGCGAGACGTCCGCACCGACGCCTACAGCTGCGACATCGAAGTTAGTTGAACTTGAATAATTTATATTGTCCCAGACAACAAGACGTCCTATCGCCAGTAATTACGCAAATTATAATTTTTCGGGTTTGATTTTTATTACACGTTATGTTATTCCTTCACCGTGGAAGTCAATCGTGAACATTTGTTGAGTACGTATTTCATTAGAAAAATTGGTACCCGCCTGCGGGATTCGAATATCGGTGCATCGCTACATACGAATGCACCGGACGTCTTATCCTTTAGGCCACGGCGTCTAATCCCAGTATAATGTTTGTTCTCAGATAGCGGAGGGTCCTCTCACAGGTCGGCTGGTGAAGGGCGTGGAGTACGAAGACATATCGAAAATGGCTTCATGATACACGATAGATTAATAAAACTGTTGATAATGTTAAAAGGAGTTTGTTTTATTGTTCAGTGCGAGTTTCTTAACGTTCTCGATAGCGTAAAAGTTAACTCACATTTGTATGGAGTTGCAACAGCGCCCCTAGCGGCAAACGTAAACAAACGTAACTCTATACAAAGGGGAATGCCCATTTTAGGCCCATAGCGGACAATAGATTATAGAAAAAATACTTAGTCCATTAATTTTGTCATAAATAAATATGCATTTACTTCCTTCCAAATGAGCGCCACTACAGTTTACAATAAGTAGTTTAAAAAAAGTAACTCTATTGAAAAAATAAGGATTTTGATTTTTGCGGGAAAAATATTGCCAGCTTCAAAACCTTTTACGTATGAAGTAAATATTTTGAGTATATAAATAAAACATATAAATAAATCATTTTAAGTATTATCATTAATCAATCGATTTTAATGGATTTTATGCACATAAAATAACATCGAAGACATACCCATTGGACTTTAACTTGTAACTACACTTGAGACCTTAGAACTTATATCTCAAGGTGGGTGGCGCATTTACGTTGTAGATGTATGTGGGCTCGAGTAACCACTTAGCAACACAAAAAAAACTTTACTAGTATTGCTATTTAAATATTTACAATTAAAACAAAAACATAAAAAATAATGTGTACTCGTAAAAAAAAGATTAAGATATAAATAAATTATCGGTTATTTAAAAAAATAATCGATATATGAATTTCATGTAATTATTTTTCTTAATACTGACAACACTGAATTTAATCTGACTGACCGACACTTCGCTTGCTGCTTGTGGTGTTGTGCTTGCGTACAAAATGGATGTGTTTTGATTTTTCTTCGATTTATTTTACTTTTATCAATAACGTTTCATACTACGACTAAAAAAACATTGTGTGGATTGTAGTTTTACCCTGACCGAGATTTAAAACCGTGTATATGCTCTCCTTTGCTATTTTTAGATGATTTACTAATTGTGTATGAAGATGAAGAAAATATAGATATTTAAAGAATTGTGTTTTTTTATACCCTATTGGATAAAAATACATTAGGAACTTCTTTAACATTAAGAAAAGAAAAGTTCTTGAAGTATCTCACAATCCGACATTTATTTATGTAGAAAATTAACCTCAAAACGTGTTTTTATATTTATTTTATTTTTTATAATAGTGGCGTCAATTTAAATATATTTTTTAGATATCCAATACATTTAAGAATTTGAATCAGTACATCTTTATAGTAATATTTGATGTCCATCTTGGGCCTAGCACACTATGGAGAGTGAGCAATCCCCTTTGAGTTAACGTTGAGGCGACACCGTACTCGTCGAACCCGTCGTTAATTTATGGGCTCCAGTAACCACTTAACATCAAGTGGGCTGTGAGCTCGTCCACCCATCTAAGCAACAAAAAAAAAAACCGCCGCTTGCGACGAAGGGCTCCACGAGCTAACTAGTCCATAGACACAGCTCACGAGTTTCTCGCCGGATCTTCTCAGTGGGTCGCGTTCCCGATCCGGTGCTAGATTCTGCGAAGCAGTTTGTCTATGTTTTCATTAGGTATTCTATTTATTTTTATTATTGTAAGAGTATTCCATCTTCGAGCCGATGAATTGCCAATGTTATGTACGCCATTATTGTCACATGTATCAGGCCATAAATTAATTTTCAATGTTAAATGTTTGTGATGAGGCAGTAATTTTTTAAATTAAAAATATATATATCGACGCTTGAAAGGCAAACGTGACTAAGCGACAATGCGTGAACTTTACAGTAAACTAATTTAAAGTTGAAATACCTGAAAACAAAATTTATTTTAACGAATCTAGCTAGTAGCTGTAGGATTGAAATGATTTTAATAGACCTAGAAATATATTTTTATTGCGCATCGAATATGGTTATTGCCTATCATTTATGTACAAAACAGTTATTATCGCTTTTGCCTTTCAAGCGTCGATATATACATAAATAAAATCACTGCTCTTGCTAGGGCTAGTGTTAGCAAATTCTCCCAGGTTGGGCCCGCGAGCACACCTACCCGTCCGCGGGTACTTAGAATAGCTCCTTAGGCTACCAACAATTAGATAGGAGGAAAAAAATGTAACCCTCGGCTGTGAATGGTGATAAAAAATAAAACTTCATTTGTAAGCTCAATAAATCATTAATTACCATTAAAACGATATAACATTAAAATTGATTACGTACATACACTACTTACGGACAAACTTGTAAATATTTCACGAATATAATGTGATTTTGAAAAAACGCCATCTTTTTTCTAATTTCTTTTTTTTTTCGATATTCGAAATTCCCTCCAAAATTCACGAAAGGTTTGTATAATTTTAATGATATTTATTACAAATTCATATTAAGTACATATTTATGTTGTATATTTTTGCAATAATCAATAATCCGTCCATAGTTCATGATTGTTGTATTGAAGACTTAGGTAAATTTCATATTTGTTTTTGACTCGGAAGATCTTAACACCAATCGACTTCGCATTCAGTTTACCTTGTGAAGGCGTTTTGGTCTTTTAAAACTCATAAAAAAGGCGAATTTCCACCAGACAATAACGTATTAAAACAAGACTTCATCGGTTTTAAACCTTTTTTTTTTAAATCACTTTTATAACACTCGATATTTTTTTAACCTCCCCTCTATCAGAGTAAGCTGATCTGTGATTTTTTTTAACTTATGAAGAGGTAACCCGCATAGCGAATGTGAAGTCGAACAGTGTGGTAACATTATTTGTATTTATTATCTATGACGGAAAATGTTTTGAAATTGGCGCGAAACTAAAAATTTTCGTAATGATTCGTGTGAACATTAATAAAACAATTAATAAACTCAGAATCGTTGGTACAATCATCTATAAATATAAACAGACAAAAACAAACATTGAATTTGCTAAAATTCCCTTGAAATCACATCAGAGATTTGTTTTCTTAAATGTATACTCATTCAAAAGTTATGTATGTAAAATTCATTAATTTAATTAAATGTAATAACAAATTACAATTTCAATCACGATTTTAATTTTCATTTACAATAAATGTTATTTGTAAATAGAATTAATTAATTTTTAAATACAGATAACCCCCTTTAAATAACACGGTAGATAAATTCATACAGTCCCGTGTTGTTGTGCCAAAGGCGAGGATTTTTTCTGAATGAAATATCTCAACTGTGCCTGTGTGTATTTTTTTTACCTATTATAATGTATACATAAAAAATAAGCAGTAAAATTTCGGTTATTCCAGAACATTGTGTGTTCATAGTGCATAGTTACTGGTGGCGCGGACTTACAAGAGGTCCTACCACCAGTAAAAATGGGTTATAGGAAGGTTAGCTGTTTTACTTTTATCGATTCTCTATACGGGTCACCGCTAGCGCTGAACTTGACGCTTACCAAGGCAAGTGATTTGTTGCCACTGTTAGTAACGTTGTCGAGAAATAATTAAAACTACTTTAACGATACCTATATATTGCGTTTTTTTTTATAAATTGGAACGAACTTCGTTATGTCACCGATCAGAGTGTGTAGCTATGAGAAACTTCATCATAAAACATTAATAGGGTAGTTTTCAAATTTGGGGCCAAAAGCGAGTTATTTGATTTAATTCTCATAACCTTAATGTTACCGTAATTATAAGTACTGTAAATGTGTTGTCATGACAACAGGCACGTGGTCCTATAACTACCGATATATTCGTAAGCACTGTTAAATTAGGAGTTATACATAAAAAACTACCCCAAATCTCATTCGTATCACTGGTCCGAAATTCAAATTCTAACTTGTTTGCTATTTTTCCAGTAATGCGTGTTGAAATTCACCAATTTCATTTAATTAGTATATAATACAATAATAAAGGAAAACTAATTGGATATTAGAACATTATTAAAAACAAAAGAAGTACGATTTTTAAGCTTTTTGAAAAAAAGTTCCTATTTAAATTGTCATCCGTGTTGGCGTTATCAAATGCGTTGAATGAAAAACATAAACGAATATTATATAATATTATTAATAAATGAATGATTGACTTAATTGTGATGAAGCATTTTTTTTATTCTGAACACGCCTAAACCAAAAAAGTATGGAAAATTAGAGAAAGTTTAAATTCATGAAATCCTTACTTTTTTGGTGGCAAATTTGAAAACGACTCATTAAAGACAATATTATTTTGCAGTGATTTTTGACACTTTCCAATCACCTATGCAACCGAAACATTTCACTATGGATTCAATTTACCGACTATTTTCACTATATGCAAATGATATTTCATATATANCTAAACCAAAAAAGTATGGAAAATTAGAGAAAGTTTAAATTCATGAAATCCTTACTTTTTTGGTGGCAAATTTGAAAACGACTCATTAAAGACAATATTATTTTGCAGTGATTTTTGACACTTTCCAATCACCTATGCAACCGAAACATTTCACTATGGATTCAATTTACCGACTATTTTCACTATATGCAAATGATATTTCATATATATTTATAAATAATTGTATAAATATATGTATATATTCTTAATATATGTATGATTCTAATTCTTTTCTTATCTTAAATCGTAATTTAACTTTTGTTTTTAAAACACTAACTTTTTATTTTATTAATTTGATTAATTACATAATATCAAACACAATATAAAAATAATAATACAATATTTTATATATTTTATTTTATAGTTCCTTTTGCTAATATAATAGTTCCAACTTAGTGTAAGTAAAACGCCTCTATCTTTATCAATACAATATTAAATATTGTGCATTTTCAAATGTCACTCAAAACTTTGAAGCATTCGTAACGTCACAAACGCTGTCATGTCAATAAAAAAAACCGTTAAAAAGTAGTCCTAATTATATCTTAGACTCATGAAAATCGATTTTTTTTCCGTTTCAATTTATTATAAAATCGAAATCGATTGAAGCAGTGACGCCATTGCTTTTAGATACGTCTTTTGCGCGGGCGTGGGGACCACTGAAACTGTAATAATAAAGTTTTGAAGCGCACACACACACACAAACTCCTGTAAGTACCATTATGGCAGTGTAAAGTCATGATAGGACTATAGAAATAGCACCGTTATAACGATCGTTTTAACGTTTATAAGTTAAGGCACGTTTTTGGGGACGCTTTTGTAAGCTCTGCTATTATTTAGTTTTTTTTTTTCTGGAAGCATTTGTTTCACTTAAGGCACTTTTTTTGGTTTTGGGTTTATTTTTATTTTTTCATAACAACGGTAGACTTGGAAGGGCTTAAGGCAATGTATAAACCCCTGATATGTAGTTTATTTGAATTGGTTAAAAATATATCGAGAGGAGAAAAGCTATTCGGTTTAATTGAATATTTTCATTTCCTGAACATTTTACATTTTCGGAGATGTGCCCTTTTCGAAATTGCATATTCAATTAGAGTTTAAAATATGGAAAAAAAAATATCACAACAACAAAAAGTTCTTCAGCTATTTGAATTGCCTAAACTTAATTGAAGTTCAATTAAAAACATCGAACTGTTGATGCTGATACCAAATGTCCTTTCACCCCTCTCTCGCACTAATGACAACTATTACATCAAAATTCGTCTTCAATTTAAACGCAGATTATCTTCAATTCGCGGTCAGACAACGCGATTGACATTGACAATGTCAACGCATTGCCGGCAAGTTTAAAACGGCATTCGAACAAAGCGACACACAATCTATAGGTCAATGTTTAGCGTTAACAAGTCTTCACCTATGAAATTGTCCTACCTATTAGAAGTACTAGCCATTCGTAACGCTATTTAACAGGTCAAGGACCGGAGTGGTCCCTGTGGGTGGATACTATTACTTTGCCAAACCAAAATTAGCGGTCCCTTGGGACAGCCGTAACTCACCTTTTTTTATTGCTTAGTTGGTTGGACGAGCTCACGGCCCACTTGGTGTTAAGTGGTTACCGGAGCCCATAGACATCTACAACGTAAATTTCGCCAACCACCCTTAATTATGAGTTCTGTATAATTACAACGGCTGCTCCACCCTTCAAACCGAAACGCATTACTGCTTCACGGCTGAAATAGGCGCGGTGGTGGTACCCACCCGCGCGGACACTCAAGACGTCCTAACACCAATAAAATGATTAATAATATTAAATGGCAATTTCGTAGGTAAAGACTTCATATATATGTATACTTATACATAATGTTGTGCTGATATTACTGATTTAACGACATATAATTTTGTTCTATTCCGCCTTAAGCGTGCATGCGAACTATTGAGGGTAGTGATAAGAAGCGCCATCTTGTATAGGTGACAAGTTGATAAAGTGTCGGTCTGTAAACAGCGCGTTGTTGTTGGAAGACTCACCGACATAGCGCTAGTGTAGGAAGCGGAAATTATATGATTATAGCATTTTAAACAGAGTCAATTGTGCTGGGTTGAAATATTTTGATCGTGACTTGGGTGATTAATAATTGTAAATAGACATGCTTTAACAAAAACTGACTTCAAATAAAATAAAATAAAAGATATTCCAAAACAAATCAATATAGACTAAAAACAATAATAATCTATGGTTATAATATAATATAATATATGTTTTTCTCATGGATACCATTATCAGAACTGGACTAAATTGAAATGGGACCACAGGGGAAGCGTCAGCCTTCTAATAAAAAAATAGAGTCATCAAAATCACCCAGTCAAAAGCTATGAGGTAACAAACATAAAAAAAACTTACAGTCGAATTGAGAACCTCCTCCTTTTTTGAAGTCGGTTAAAAATATGCAGTATTTAAATTCTAAACAATTTATTTTTATTACTATTTACGTAGGAAGTGTTTCTTTCCTTCTTAATTTAGTATCCTACTGTAATAGTTTATGGAGCTATATTTAAAATCCTTCCACTTGCTACAGTGGCGCCACCTTAATTGGTTTTTCTTTCAACGGATACTTTTTAATACACCGAGATAGTGTTTCTTACTTCTACCCTCCATACCACGATATATACCAGTTATATTTTAGTACAATCTTAAAAGACATTTTAATATATGAAAAATTTATAAAAAACATAACGATATTTCTATGAAACTTACCTTAGCGCTAATACGCTATCTAGGCACGTTATCGGGATTTTTTGGGGCGTTTGATTATATATATATATATGTATGTATATATTTGTAAAAATATGATTATGTACTCTATATCTAAGTCAATAGGGACTATCTTTGAAAGTCGTAGGCCGAAAATTCTAAATGCGATTTGGTTTTTTTTTTGTCGTTTGGCGTAACGACAATGCCTCTTTTTAGGAAGTCGGTGAATTTTCATTAGCACGCTCCTACTCGTGACATAGGCTCGCAATAGTGATATTACTTACTAAGTACATTAGATGCGACAAAAAACAAATAATATTTAAATAAAAAGACTCTAAAATCTAAACGAATTTGTTGTTAAAGAATTACTATAAGAAATTATCTAAATTACTTTATTAATATACAGTAAAAGCTCCTTATTCGCGATTCCTTCATTCAAGTTTTCACTAGCGACCCTCTTTATATTCGCGACTAAATATTTCTTTATGCGTCGATCTAATTGGTACATCGGTACATACAAATTGATAAAAAGGATTCCAATATGTACGTATCCAACTGAATTAAGCACGTCCTGAAATCGACTAACAAAACAGTAAAATAGACCTTATTACAATTAGGCCTAAAGTATGTTTATAATTTGTCACGTAAGGAGCGTATCTATATATTAATACGTGAAGCAAAAACTTTGTATCCCTTTTTACGAAAATTGCGCGGACGGAAGAGTATGAATTTCCCACACTTATAGAGAATATAGAGAAGGAGTGCACAATGTTAATATATTTTTTTAAATAATGCATAAAAGATACTTTAAATCAATAAAGAAAACATTACACACACTACATACCATGTATTTGACGCACACATGCATTCTATTTATTTATTGTCATACTTTTGTTCTTGACGTCTGTAGTCAAATTGAGAATAGATTAAATATTGTTTGTCTTTGTTAATATTATTTTATAGAGTAGCCTTGGCAAAATATGTGATTATAGTATGTGTACAAACTTACAATTCCACTTAATTATAGTCGAATTTCGACTACTGGGGGAGTTCTAGTTCTTTATAATTCTGTATACCATTCCTTGATCACGTATCTCCATATTTACGGAACATGTATCAAGCGAATAAAGAGCTTTTACTACTAAACGTGTTCAAGTTGAATTGAATAAGGCAGCTTTTACACATAACGCGATCTATAGTTTAGCGTTTGATGTTTTATCCGCTTTTATTATCATAATTTTAGCACACGATCCGGTATTTCAAAGCGAAAGTCTCGCTTATTCCTGTAAAGTTCGATAAAAAGCGTCCTTCGTAACTCTAAATACGTTTTCAAAATTATATATTTTGTACGTTGAAATAGGGCGCGCTATATAAACGCTTAAAATAGCAGGTAGCGCGCTACATTTAAATAACGTTATGCTATTTTTAATTTTTTTTTGTTATTATTTTTGGTAATTAAAAATATTAAGTCACTGCAGTTATATTAATAGTATATAAATATTGTTCATAATTTGCATTAGAGGTAATTAAAAATGTACGACAACAAAAACTATTTATATATAAATATATATATGAAGGAGTGAAAAGTCATTTGGTTTGAGCGACATTGTTTGCAATTTTACAGGAGAGCCATTTTTAACGGCCGTCTGGTGTAGTGGTAAGTGACACGGTCACTACACGAGGGGATCGCTGGTTCGAATCCTACCAAGGGAAGACATTTGTGTGATAAATATAAAATGTCTTCTCCAGGGTTATGGATGTATATTAAATATATTATGTATGTGTATAATAAAAATCTTACATTTATTTCCGTTTACGTGTAACACAAGTTCTTTACGAACTTATCACGGGACCAGTTAACGTGCCGTGATTGTTAGTAAATATTTATTATTATTATTATATTTTTTTTATTTGGAAAAAATTTAATAACAAAAAAAGCTTCTTCAGCTATTTGAACGGAGTAAGCTTAATTGAAGTTCAATCAAAAGCATCGAACTGTTGACGCTGATATCAAATAAAAGGGATCTTTAATTACATAGATAAATGTCACTAAAACCAAACAGTTTTTCATTCCTTAACATATATTAATATATATCTTCATACAATAATTCCGCATCTCTCACCGAGTTACATATAATGTATCACGTTCACATCAAATTAGTGTTGTTAAGCAATCAAGGCAATTACAACTTTAATGCAACGGCTAAAGAGTCTAAATTCGTTCAACACGAACACTACATCTGTTTTGTTGTATTTAAACAGATTTCTTGATGTTTTCGTTAAGCTCTTCGACTGCGGTGTAGGTCACCGGTGCCCTGCGTAAATGCGAGTATTTTAACGTTCTCGATAGCGTAAAAGTTAACTCAAATTTCAATGGTGTTGAAACAGCGCCCCTAGCGGCAAACGTAGGCAAACGTTCCAACTCCATACAAAGTTGAGTTAACTTTTACGCTATCGAGAACGTTAAAAAACTCGCATTAATCACACTGAAGTTTTTTTTTTTATTGCTCAGATGGGTGGACGAGCTCACAGCCCACTTGGTGTTACGTGGTTACTGGAGCCCATAGATATCTACAACGTAAACGCGCCACCCACCTTGAGATATAAGTTCTATAGATATAAGGTCTCAGTATATGTACGAAGAAAAAGTACAAGTAACAAGTCTGTTGTCGGTTTTTCTCAAAAATTAACAAATTGTATCATATCCCCTTCATCCGCTCATGTCTTCAATTGCTTGAGGGCGCCGCGTAGGTCACCGGTGACCTACACAGGAGTCGAAGGTTTAAATACACGTTGATTCAAAATTTGACTCGATCAGAAAGGCAGATATTGCTAATTTATTTTGTTGTCGTGTTCTATTTCGGTGTTGCTATGTTTTTGGACGACGGCGATTCTACTTTTTTAGTAGTTTTTCTTCCTCTTCAGCTGCTTCTTTGTCGAGGAGAGACTTGAAGGTCGAGTTGGTGCGAGGACTCGCCGATGAGGGTACGAACTGGAAAACATAACCATAACGTTAGATTAAGGGTGTCTGTTTGTTGGGTGAAATAGGAATAGGTTCAATAAAAATTCTATTTCTATTTCAATAAAATTAAAACAGAAATTTCGGTAGGCAGCGGCTTGGCTCTGCCCGTGGCATTGCTGAAGTCCATGGGCGACGGTAACCACTCACCATCAGGTGGGCCGTATGCTCGCCTGCCTACAAGGACAATAAAGAAATAAAAAAAAAATCTACCATGATTTCGGATCTGTCTGGATCAAACATGAATATCGCAACTTAGAAAATAGTAATTGTTATTTATTATTTATTTATTAATGTGAAAGTTTGTTTGTCCCAAGTTTCTCATCAAAACTTTCGATGGATTGATGACATAGAAAAAAAATTCGGACTGTATTTAAGTCTGAAAGTGACTTAACAAATCTCATTCCCAACTATATTGGCACTATCCGATGATCTCGCGAGCGGAGTCGCGGTTCACAACTAGCTAAGCAATAAAAGAAATTTGAAGTTGAACATTTTTGAAGATTTCTTTTGACGTATCTGTTTGAAATGGCGTTAGATGCTTGAGAGGTGAAGTTGTTTTTATTTATTTATTGTCCTTGCAGGAAGACCTGCGTACAGCCCTCTTAATGGTGAGTGGTTACCGTCGCCCATGGACATCAGCATTGCTAAGGGCAGAGCCAAGCCGCTGCCTACCGCTTAATACTCTCCACAAGCCTCGTTTGAAGAAGGACATGTCATAGCGCTCGGGAAACACCGTGGAGGGGAGCTCATTCCATAGCCGGATGGTACGTGGCAAAAAAGATCTGTGGCTCCAGGTAGTATGGATGAACTCTACTCCGGTGGCGGGCGGTGCGATGGTAAAAAAGAGATGATGGGATGATCTCAAACAATTCCTCAGAGGACTCCCCATTGAACACACGGTACAAGCGTGTCATCTAACCATCTCGTGCTCACAATTCTATTTAATGAAAATAGTATTTTGTTTTAAATACGATTTTCAATAAACGATGTTTTATTCCTTCATCCTGAGAGTATTTAAGGAATATACTTCAAATATGAGGGTACTTTGATATATTTTGTTTTGATTTTTATTATTGCTTAGATGGGTGGACGAGTTGACGGTCTACCTGATGTTATGTGGTTACCAGAGCCGATGGACATCTACAACGTGCCATACCACCTTGAGATATGTTCTAAGGTCTCAGTATAGTTACAACGGCTGCCCCGCCCTTCAAACCGAAACGCATTACTGCTTCATGGCAGTCATAGGCGGGGTGATGGTATCTACCCGCGCGGACTCACAAGACGTCTTACCACCAGTTCCAAAGAACAAATAAATAGATTAACGTACCAACCGTTTGATTCAAATGTGTTTATCCTTTTTATGGTCCTAGCGGCGTGAAAGAGATAGCATTGTATTTATTTATTTTATATACATCGCACATGCGTTATGTGATATTTTTTCGACTACCCACATTATAGATAGAATCCGTGTGTGACAGGTAGCCATTATTTATTTATTAAGTTGCACCAACAAAGTGACCATCAATACCAAACATTGACAAATTGTCGTCAATAAGTACACGACAGATGTCACCTCAATTATAGGTGCAATCGACAGTGCATTGACAACAAAAATAAAAAATTATAGGTATATGTAACTAAAACTTGATTATATTTGATTGATTGCTTATGATCAATTTATAATACAACACAAGATATTTGACAGATGTCTGAATCTTGCTTACGACATTTTCAAGATAAGCTTGCATATATACAAGTTCTGAACAACAACATTTGGATCTACCGTCTACCGGTCTACCGAGCAATAATACCCGCTCGGTGGAAGACCTTCCCTTTGTCGTTAAACATGTCGTGTATATGGTGAATTTATTCACAGCTTAGGTCCTTGACGGGTTTTTTGGTCAATTTTGATAAAGGCAACACTAGTATCGATATAAAATCCGTCGATTTCAGATTAGCACTTGGCTATCGTTCCCAAGAGCATCAGTGGCTGATCATCGTCATTTCCCACGAATTATCCCATAGACACAGCCCACTGAGTTTCTCGCCGGATCATCTCAGTGGGTCGCGTTTCCGATCCGGCGGTAGATTCTGCGAAGCACTGCTCTTGCTAGGGCCAGTGTTATCAACGCTCCGGCTTGAGCCCCGTGAGCTCAGCTACACGTTAGGGCGAAGCTAAAATAGCGTCTCAAGGCTATCAGCACAGTTAAAAAAAAATCGTCAGATCGATGCCTCTTTGGAGGCTTAACGACAAAGGGAAGATCTTCCACCGAGCGGGTGATATTAGCTCGGTAGACCGACGGTCCGAATGTTGTTGTTCGGAACTTGTATATATGCGCTTTATCTTGAAAATGTCGTAAGCGAGATTCAGGCATCTGTCAACCATCCCGCGTTGTATGATGGCTACGCGCCACACCTCCAATGAACACTACGCTAACTTCAAATTCGTAGGTTTACAGGCGGAGCGTTTAAACGAAAAACATTTGATAAAATCTTTATTATTGCAGATATATTTATGGGTTTTTTCTTGTGTAACTAGCTGATTTACTTTTGCTTCGAACTACATCAATAATGATTTGTGATACTTTTAAAATAGTGAAGCGATTTGCGTGAAGGACGAAAATTTAAAAATGTTGAGTTAGAGTAGTGTTCATTGGAGGCATCGAAATGCACTTCTACTGTTCCTCATTTCACTGACTTGGCTGTCTGGTCCGCGACCCTTTGCGCCTTCAATCGGAAACTCAGAAAAAAAAGTTTAGATTATACTCAAAACGTGACAAGTCGATGCGTACCTGTGATTTGGGCGACTCCTCGTTCTCCCGGACCTCCTCGATCCTATCGCCTTCGCGAAGCAACTGCGAATAGAAACGTAAAGGCATTAGTACCGACCTCTGTGCTTACGGAGCTTTCGCTGCGAACAGACGAGAAGCTCAGAAAAATGTGACGTCATAATGATGTTACGACGCGCGTGCGAAAGAGATAACGATATATTAGACTGACTCGGCGGCCCAAAACACGTCATTACGGATCCTCCCGATTCACTAACGGTGCTTTTAGGTACCACAAGCACCGGTCATCGTTCTTAATAGACTAAATTAACCCACAGACACAGCCTACTGAGTTTCTCGCCGGATCTTCTCAGTGGGTCGCGTTTCCGATCCGGTGGTAGATTCTGCGAAGCACGGCTCTTTCTAGGGTTCGTGTTAGCAACGTCGTCAGGTTTGAGCCCCGAGAGTTCACCAGAAGCTGAAATAGCCTCTCAAAGCTGATAGCATAGGCAGGAGAAAAAAAACACATGTATGCAATTCACACGTGGTAGAAGTGAAACCTTCAAAAATTAAAAGACAATTATTCGAAATGTCTAAGTATATGTATATGTAAAATCTAAGTATGTGTAAAATTTTGTCAGTAGTAAATAATTGTAAATCATCTTTTATAGTATGAGCTAGCGCCCTCTGTGAATTGATATTTTAACTTCACGTATATCCTAAATTAAGATTCACTAAAAGAGGTTTCATACACACGTTAGTATAAAAAAATCTCATAGATGACGCTGTATTAAAAAAAAACGCTAGACTGAGAACGTATAATGTGTTCTATCTCGTTCTCTCGCCGGCTGAATCCTATACATTTATGTGTTTGTGTCTCTATGGACTTATTTTTTCGTTTCATAGAGTTTGAAATTACAACGATTCTAAAGAAGTTTCACTTCAAAAATATATATCCTGTGCAACACTCACCTTATCCACTTCTGGTTCGATCTGCTCATTGGTGCCGCCCTTGTTGAGCACCCCCTTCTCCATGAGCGTGGCGCGTTTAGCCGCTAAGTACATTGACCTGTGCGAACGAAAACGGATTACAATGCGGGCCGGGTAAGGGTCATCGCACTTTCCCCTTGATTGCGTTACATTGCGCGTTCTGTTCATTAATTCTCGAATGAACTAGCTTATTGTTCTTCTGATGTGAAATTGAAGACAACACGAGCTCACACGTGGATTATTTGAGACTTCGGGATCGCGTCTCAAGGTTGAGTCGTCTGTCTAACATTTGAAGAGTTCTTTTTCGCTTAAATGGGTGGACCAGCTCACAGCCCACCTGGTGTTAAATGGTTACTGGAGCTAATAGACATCTACAGTGTAAATGTCGCCATCTACCTTGAGATATAAGTTCTATGATATTCAGTTACAACAGCTGCCCCACCCTTCAAGCCGAAACGCATTACTGCTTCACGGCAGAAATAGGCAGGCGGGTGGTATCTACCCGCGCGGACTCACAAGAGATCCTACCACCAGTAATAACGCAAATTATCATTTTGCGGGTATTTGATTTTTATTACACGATGTTGTTTGTTATTCCTTCACCGTGGGAGTTAATGGTTCTGGTGGTGGTTCTCCGATGCTTACCGTTTGATGGTGAGGTAGTATAGTTCAGCGATGGCCTTGACTGAGTAGTCGGGTACGAAGGTGTGGCGCAGCATCGAGTCCATGTTGAGGTTCTGCAGGGAGCCGAGGGTCGATGGTGCAGGAGCCTCCGCTGGAAGCACATTCGAACCTTGAGGTCGCTAGTTGAGCATGTTGAAGGTCACCTTTATTACACACTAGCCGTACTCGCCCGTTTCGCTGGGCATTTAAAATTAACATTATTATTTCTCACCCCCACAAAGATTCTCATCATTAACGCCCCGCAACTGGTGTAGGGACTCCAACGCTCATATAAATATTAGCCTATCAATTAAGTACATGTATTTTCTACATGGATACCAAGTTTCAAGTCAATGGGATGCACGGTTCAGTAGTTATAACGGAACATCCGTAAAAACCACTGTAGATTTATATATTAGTATAGATATAGATTTATTTTCTTCTTGCCATTATAATGAAGCATTCATATGGATGGATTCCTCACCTAGTCCCACGTTCTGGGTCAGAGCTTGCACTCCGAAGTAAGTGAAAGGTCCAGCTTCGAAAACCAGGTTCTCCCTTCCGACGGTCACCTCCACGCGACCTTCCAGGATCAGCACGAAATAATCCACCTGTTGACAAACGATTGATATAGTTATATACATCATTATCCTACCCTTACCTGGGGTCGGCGAAACATGTTTCCTCCTGCCTTACTCTTCTATCATATTACTGGTGGTGGGACCTCTTGTGTGTCCGCACGGGTAGGCACCACCGCCCTGCCTGTTTCTACCGTGAAGCAGTAATGCGTTTCGGTTTGAAGGGCGGGGCAGCCGTTTTAACTATACTGAGACCTTAGAACTTATACTTACACTTAACATCAGGTGGGCCGTGAGCTCGTCCGCCTATCTAAGCAATAGAGTACCTTGACTGCTAGAGCGTCTTGTACCACCGCCCTGCCTAATTCTGAGGTGAAGCAGTAATGCTTTCTGGTTTAAAGGTTGCCGCAGTTAAAACTGAGATTTAGGGCTCGCGTCTTAAGATGGGCGACGACATATACATTGCTGATGTCTATGGGCTCCAATAGCCACTTGTCAGGTAGGCCGTGAGCTTAATATGAATAGCCTATAATAGAGGTTGACTTCTTGACCCCCCCCCAACCCGTACGTACCGGCTTCCCCTCCTGATAAACGAAGCGTTTGATGTCGTTCTTATCCTCATCTCCCTTCAGCTTGATGTGTTGTATGACGTCTTGCTTCAGCAGCCGACGGAGCACCGTCTCTGAGATCATCTCAGGACGGAATGGGTCCACGCCTGGGAACACAACGAGAGAGATCAGACAGATAGGTAATGCTCATTTTAAGAGTACATTATAGGTCATGTCCCATCGCTGGGCTGTGGTCGGATACTCACTCGTGCTCAAGAACTGGAAGGTGGCTAGCACCTGCTGCGGGGACACGTGGACACGCTGGTGCTCCTGGTGACCCATGAAGGCTCCTATATCTTGGAATTTATTGACGGGCCGGGTCAAGCGCTTCTTGGTACGGTTGTCGCCTGTAAACATGGAGAGGATGAAATCGGTTACCACAATGTCAATGTCCAAGCCAAAGACAGTTGCTAGACACCGTCAAATGACATTGGCTGGTGTTGCCATGTTTAGAGAGAGATAGATAGATTAGAGTTATTGGTAGTAGGACCTCTAGTGAGTCCGCGCGGGTGGGTACCACCACCCTGCCTATTTCTTAGGTGAAGAAGTAATGCGTTTCGGTTTGAAGGGTGGGGTAGCGGTTGTAACTATACTTGAGACCTTAGATCTCAAGGTGGGTGACGCATTTACGTTGTGGATGTCTATGGGCTCCAGTAACCACTTAACACCAGGTGGGCTGCAAGCTCGTCCACCCACCTAAGCAATAAAAAGAAAAAGAGAAAACGGTAAGAAAGGAAAAAGAGAATGACAGAGAAAAGGAAGATGGCGGACACGATTGTAAATGAGCAGAGCGTAAAAAAAGTATCAATTAATTTTTAATTATTATAATAAAGAAGATTTTGGAAAAGAAGAAGTGGAATAATTTTATTTTTACGTGACACGCTTCCGATTATACATTTTGCAGTTATTCAACGCAACCATTATTCCATCATTATTTATAAATCATTCACAAACGGTGCTCAGAGATCGCACGACTAGACCTGGAAACCGGTACTCACTGAAGACATCGGTCTCATCCACGATCTCTGCCTGGATCATTTCCTCGATGACGTCTTCCAGGGTCAGCAGGCCTACTGTCTCGTATATGGGATCCCCATCGCCTTCCTCGATGCGCTGGACGAACGCCATGTGACCTTTGTGCCCTGAAAAGATATAGAGGTTTTAACAAGGGATAATTTACAGGTGTTTCAGCTTAAGGCGTCCCAGATGCTCACGAGCGAATCCCCTGAAGAATGAGTATAATTTAATGTTTTTTATTTATTTAATGTATTTTTTATGTACATATCACTTAAAAAAAATATTAACATTCTGCACTCCTTCTCTATATTCTCTATAATTGTGGTTAATTTCATACTTCTCCGTTCGCGCAATTTTCGTAAAAATTTAAAGATAAAAAGAGTACAACTTTTATTTCGATACGATTGCAATAAACATAAATTACGTATACCTATACATATATATAAAATAAACACATCAGCGTGTCTGTCTGGCTACGTGCCGTCATCGAGACATTAAATCATGGTGAAACCACACGTGATGGCGAAAATGAATATCGATTATTATTTATATACAATCGTTCTAAGAAGTCGGGGCGTCGGCCATTTTGATTTTGTATTCTCAAATGCGATTTATTCGCTTAGTGAAGGCGATCGTTTTTAGCTGACCGGTTCTCGAGTGGAGACCAGGCCGGTTGGAACTGAGGGAATTAGGAGAATCGAGTTAGGTGATGTGAATTTGGAGAGACCTACGTTCATTGGTGGACCACTATATGATGACGCACTTAACCCAAAAGCCCTCAGAGTGTGGTCAGCTCCAAGCGATACTCTGTGAGACCGATACAGTAACCTCGGTGTTTTCAATCTAGAATTGTTTGAATCTATCATATCTCGATCAGCTGACGTCCAAGACTAATCTATTTTAATGAATAGTTTTTTTATTGCTTTGATGGGTGGACGAGTTCACAGCCCACCCGGTGTTAAGTGGTTACTGGAGCCCATAGACAACGTAAATGCGCCACCCACCTTGAGATATAAGTTCTAAGGTTACAGTATAGTTACAACGGCTGCCACACCCTTTAAACCCGCATTACTGCTTCACGGCAGAAATAGGCAGGGTGTTGGGACCTACCCGAGAGGACTCACAAGAGGTCCTACCACCAATACTAAATAGTTAAATAGTTCTGTGAGGGGTCAAATATCGCGTGTAATAAGCGAATGAATGAGTGAGTGATAGAATGAATAAATGAATGAATAAAGTATTTATAAATAAATAAATAACAGGAAACGAAGCCACATCACACTCTATCACCTGGGTCTGAACTGGGATTTCCTGGAATAAGGAAACCAGATACTGATATGCATACTTTAAATACGTTTAAGAGATTCTCCTGGTTTTCCACATTCATTCCCTGACCTGGGATTTGAGGCAAGGGTTTATCGTAAATTCCTTCAGGACCTCTTCAAAATGACCTTGGTTAGTAATCGGGCAAATAGGGCAATAGCTAACAACGCCTAAAACATTGCAATATCCTCTTACGAAACTCTTGCCCGGATTTAGGGAAACGAAAAAAAGAATTCTGAAGGATCGTATTCCTCGTCCAGTTCATTGAAAGTCGAGGTCTCTATCGGAAAGACCAATCTATCAACGGCCTTAACCAAAGATAGAGTCTGGGCATGACCTTGTTTTTATTTTTCGTCCAGGCGACCGAGCCTTTTGTGAGGTTTCCTCGCCTTATTCCACGCGGGGTATTTATGCCTCGACGCGACCTTGAGGTCTGACCTCGTTTTTAGATCAGACGCAAGTTATTTGGCAGCGGGTGTTAGTTTTTTCCGACATTCTCCAGTCTGGCGCGGATGTGGGTCGCTCCGAAGGTGTCGCGTTATGTACACAAATAGACCGCAGTTAAGAGATGAGCGCATTTCGGTGACATTCGTTATTTACGGAGGCGATACGCCGTGCAGTGTGGGACGCGGTTTTGATACCCGTCAAAAATTGAATAACAAAAACATCACTACATAGTATAAAACAAAGTCGCTTTCTCTGTCACTATATCCTTATCTATAATAATATATTAATACGTGAAGCAAAAACTTTGTATTCCTTTTTACGAAAATTGCGCGGACGGAGGAGTATTAAGTTTTCCACACTTATAGAGAATATAGAGAAGAAGTGCACAATGCTAATATTTTTTTAAAATAATGCATAAAAGATACATTAAATCCATAAAGAAAACATTACACACACTACATACCATGTATTTGACGCACACACGCATGCACACTATTTATTGTCAAACTTTTGTTCTTGACGTCTGTTGTCGAATTGAGAATAGATTAAATAAAGTTTGTCTTTGTTAAGGTTTTTATAGTGTAGCCTTTGCGAAATTTGTGATTATAGAAGTATAAAATAGAATCATAATAGTGTACAAACTTACAATTCCAATTAATTATAGTCGAATTTCGACTACTGCGGGACCTCTAGTGTATGCTTAAATCTATAAAACTACGCAACGGATTTTGATGTGGTTTTTTTTTAATAGATAGAGTGATTGAACAGGAAGATTTATGTGTATAATAACATCCATTAAATAGTGGAGAAATCAATAAAAAATTACTGTTTCCGAAGCGAAGCGAGGGCGGGTCGCTAGTTATATTATAATAAGTAATTGGAAACAAATCACGCACGGTCGTAGGGCTTAGATGGGTGTCCGAGCTCACAGCCAACCTGGTGTTAGGCGGTTACTGGAGCCCATAGACATCGACAATGCCGCCACCCACCTTGAGATATGGGTTCTAAGGTTTCAGTATAGTTACTACGGCTGCCCCGCCCTTCAAACTGGGAAATGGGGGGAAACAGGCGGTGTGGTGGTACCTACCCGCGCGGACTCACAAGAGGTCCTACCGCCAGTAAATTAGTGTTCTCCGTGTTATGGGTACTAGAGATTGATAAACATACTTATATACGTTCAAATATATACATATATAGATAATAAACGCCCAGACGAAGAGCAAACGAATCTGTTCATCATACGAATGTTTGCGCGATGTGGGAATCGAACCAGCGACCCTCGGCGCAATCAAAACTACTTAAAACATAATTCTTCTATCCGTGTGCATTTTATTGAACTGATCCTAAATGGGTGCATCGATTTTGATCGTTTTTCAGCCCACTGAGTTTCTCGCCGGATCTTCTCAGTGGGTCGCGTTCCCGATTCGGCGGTAGATTCTGCAAAGCACTGCTCTTGCTAGGGCCAGTGTTAGCAAAACCCGTTTGAGCCCCGTGAGCTCACCTACTAGTTCGGCGAATCAAGAATAACCCCTCGAGGTTACTATAATGGGCAGAAAAAGAAAAAAAAAATTTTTGTGCGTCGGTGTGTTCCAATGTATTCTAGAATGTTCTACATTCACAATACGGTATAGTAATAAAAAAAAAAAATCAATCAAATTTTCTTTAACACTAGGTGAGTGAATCCTAATTCGGACTTATTATTAATACTAGCGGTCCCCCAGTAGCCGAAATTCGACAATAATTCAATTTGAACATTATTATGGTTCTATTGTCAAAGACTTAATAATATACTTCTAGAATCACAGATTTCGACAAGACTACACTATAGACAAATCATGTTACAGACAAACAATATTAATCTATTCTCAATTTGACCACAGACTTTAAGCAATAACAAAAGTTTGACAATAAACAAAGGGTATGTATGTGTGTCAAATACATGGTAGTGTGTGTAATGTTTTTTTTTATTGATGTAATGTATTTTTTATGCATAATTTAAAAAAAATATTAACATTCTGCACTCCTTCTCTATATTCTCTATAAGTGTGGCAAATTACATACTCCTGCGTCCGCGCAATTTTCATAAAAAGGGATACAAAGTTTTTTCTTCACGTATTAATATATAGATATTTATACTGACAGTCCTATTGATGTGTGAGAGGTCACTCGATCTCTTACCTTCTTTGAATTGCTTCAGCATGACATCCAAGGTGACGTCTTCGAATACGAAGTTGCAAGGGTTCTGGTAGTACTGGCAGAGGGTCCTCAGGGGCGTGTTGTCGTCGGGGTCGACGAAGGCGAGGTCCTTGATGAAGAGCACCGTCACGATGTTCCCGCGGTGACCCTCGTACACCGGGATGCGGGAGTAGCCTGGCGAGATCGTATTCTTTATTGCTTAGACAACAGAAGCCAGGGGCCCGTGGATATCAGCAACGTTAATCCACCTTGAGACATGAGCTTTGAATTGCCCACAATAGTTTGTTTCCCGAGCGCTATGACATGTCCTTCTTCAAAAAAGGCTTGTGGAGAGTATTAAGCGGTAGGCAGCGGCTTGGCTCTGCCCCTGGTATTGCTGAAGTCCTTGGGCGACGGTAACCACTCACCATCAGTGGTAACAGAAGTCGACTTAATTACTTCAGTAAACCGCGTAGGGCACCGGTGACCTACACGGCAGTCGAAGGGTTATCTATCTATTGAAAAAGGAATCCAGATCAGGATAAAGGTCTTACCAGATTTGACGATTTCGGACATGGTCTCGAAGTCTAGGACGCTGTTGATCGGCAGCATGAAGCAGTCCTTGAGCTTCGTCATCACGTCTTTGACGGTCTTCTTGCGAAGATCCAGGGCGCCGGAGATGATGTTCACCTCCTCTTTGTCCAAATCGTTAACGTGGTTCGTGACCTAGAGCCAAATGTAAGGGTATATCAAACGCACCAAATGAATATGGGAATCGCTATGACGATTCTTGGTTTTGAGGCGCTTTTCTTATTGGTAGCTCCTCCTTTATCTACTGAAATAGATACTGGAACCAGTTCAGAGAGCGTGGAGGTTGGTGTGTGTCCGAAAAAACAAAGATGCAGCGGAGCTTTTGGGTGAGCCAAATGGTTGTACGACATCTTGTGGGTCCGCACGGGTAGGTACCACCACCCCGCCCGTTTCTGCCGTGAAGCAGTAATGCGTTTCCGTTAAAACTGAGACCTTAGCACTCATGTCTCAAGGTGGGTGGCGGCATTTAGGTTGTAGATGTCTATGGACTCCGGCAATCACCTAAAATTAGGTGGGCTGTGAGCTCGTCCACCCATCTAAGCAATAAAAAAAAAACATATCCCGTTCATCCACTCATGTTTTCTAATATTTTTTTTTTTTTTATTGCCCTTGTAGGCAGACGAGCATACGGCCCACCTGATGGTGAGTGGTTACCGTCGCCCATGGACTTCAGCAATGCCAGGGGCAGAGCCAAGCCGCTGCCTATCGCTAATATATATAATAGTAAGCACCGTCCTTTTTTCTCCCCCTACCTATTCACTGGTAGCAGGAGTATTCCAGCAACGTGCGGACGGGTAGGTGAGCTTAAGGGGTCAGCCTGATAGAATTGCTAACACTGGTCCTATCAGGAGCAGCGCTTCGTTGCCGAAATCGCGACCCACTAAGATTCAGTGAGAAAATGTCTTGTGTCTATGGGCTAATACCGTCCAATGAACCACGGGGTACCGTCTAAAGCAGTGGTCGTCACACTTTATGTGTATCACTGCGGGCCACATATTTTTTGGACTGTTTAGTTGACCACCAGTCAATTAAAATATTCAATATTATTATTAAATATATTATTATATTTTAATATTACCAATTGATTTATTTATTTATTATTATATTCACCAATCACTTATGTCCATTTTCTTGCTGGAATAAATGAAAGTGACTTAGTTAGCTTTAGCGAGTTTTATTGGGAATTGAGCCCACATTGTCTACTAAAATTGTTAGCTCTGCCGCGGGCCGCAGAAATATCGTCCAGGGGCAGCATTTTCCCGACCACGTGTCTAAATTATACAGCGCCCGATTCCTTCGCCAGCCACTAAAGCGACAGAATGGCAACCAAATTTTAGAAAGCCAATAGAGAAAATCAGATGGTTTAACGAAAAGCCTGTATCTTTTCTTCGCTCTGAAGAACGTGAACACGAATAATGATGAATCGAGTACTCACCCTGACTAGTTCCTTTAGTCTTTCCCTGTTGTAATGAGTGCCGATTTCTTCGCCCAGGAAGTAGTCCAGGAGTTTGCTGGTCGGCCAGGCGAGTGGAGCGCAGATACCCATGACGATCTACGGGAGAGTTCCAACAGCGTTACCCATATAGCATTTTCGTAATCGCTGGGAATAACCAGCTACCAGCGGTTTTATAGGAGAACATTGTATCCGCCTAAATAATTCCGCCTACCACTTGCTTAAATGGTAATAAATAGTTATGACACAGCCGACCTCGCGTGAGTCCGCACGGGTAGGTACCACCACCCTGCCTATTTCTGCCGTGAAGCAATAATGCGTTTCGGTTTGAAGGGCGGGGCAGCCGTTGTAACTATACGGAGACCTTAGAACTTATATCTTAAGGTGGGTGGCAGCATTTACGTTGAAGATGTCTATGGGCTCTGGTAACTACTTAACACCAGGTGGGCTGTGAGCTCGTCCACCCATCGAAGCAATAAAAAATTATGTCTAAGGATTCCGGTAACCGCGTCACACTAAGTGTACCGTCACTTCGTTCACTAGCATAGGCAATGAAAAATTATTATTTTATTGTCCTTGCAGGCATACGAGCATACGGCCATACGGCCCACCTGGTGGTAAATGGTCACTGTAGCTCATGGAAGTCAGTAATGCCAGGGGCAGAGCCAAACCGCCGCCTACCCTTAAGGACTCTCCGCAAGCCTCGTTTGAAGAGGGACATGTCATAGCGCTCGGAAAACACCGCGGAGGGGAGTTCATTCCAAAGCCGTGGCAAAAAAGATCTTTCGAAGCGTACTGTCGATAGTTTACCAAGTTCTACTAAATAAAACTACGCACCTTCATGATCCAGATACTCTTCGCTCCGATCAGCAGGCCGTGTCTAGCGCAGATGGCTTGCGGCGTTATCTCGGCTATGAACACGATCGCCAAGGTCGAACCGATGACCGCCACCAGCCCAGACGTCAGATCGTCCAGGATGACCGTAAACGTGCTGTTCACGGCCACGTTGCTGAGCAGGATCGTGCAGAGGAGATAGTTCCCGTGGGCCCTGACCGGCATAATGGCTCTCGCGTACTTCCTCTCTTTCTCTGTGCCCGTGTTCGCGATGATCTTCAATTCGGTTCGGTCCAACGCCATCAGACCGAGATTCAGACCGGAGAAGAGCGAGGCCAACATCAGCAGTATCACAATTAGGATCAGCGAGGCCCACAGCGGTAGGAGTTTGTTGTGTGTGGCCAAAACCTTCCATTTTTCTGGGCCTTGGTGAACGAACGAGTCTTGGGGCGAATTCTTCGCGCAGATGTAGAAGATGTAGTCTTCTAGAGGTGGGGGGGCTATCAGTCTGAATAGAGCTGACTCTTCGTCGGCGTTTTCAGCCTGTGGAGAAAATTTTGGGTCAACGGACTTAAATGACTTAGTTCCTAGTTCTTATTCTTTCTAGTTGATAAGTCAGATGCACCAGCTCACGGCCTGTCTAGCGTTGAGTGGTTACCTTAAGACACGAGTCCTAAGATACCGTTTTTAGAGTACAACGGCTGCCCCACCCTGTAAACCGAAACGCATTACTGCTTCACGGTATAAATCGGCAGGGCGGTGGTACCTACCCGTGCGGGCTTAGACGCGCTACCACTAGTTAAAATTAAACCTCCTTTTAGAGTTCAATCTAGTCCGTGATTAAGGCGACTGTGAAGCTCTCAAAAAGGCGGAAATACAATAATGACAATAACGAATCTTTATATAAAATCGCTAAAGCCACTTTATGTGTCGTGAGAACCAAAGAAGAAAGAAAATTCCTTAGCTCGTTGGTTAGGAAAGGGGATAGTGCATACGAAACCTAACTTTCAACCTATGTTTACAGGAGCCCACGACCTCATACACGACTCCCAATCATTTTGAAGTGGTCGTGGCCTAAAGGATAAGACATCCGATGCATACGTGTTGAGCAATGCACCGGTGTCCGAATCTCAGGCGGGTACCTATTTTTCTAATGAAATACGTACTGAACAATTGTTCGCGATTGACTTCCGCGGTGAAGGAATAACATCGTGTAATAAAAATCAAACCAGCAAAATTATAATTTGCGTAATTTCGAGTGGTAGGACCTCTTGTGAGTCCGCACGGGTAGGTACCACCACCTTGCCTATTTCTCTATACTTGAGACCTTAGAACTTATATCTCAAGGTGGGTAGCGCATTTACGTTGTAAATGTCTATGGGCTCCAGTAACCACTTAACACCAGGTGGACTATGAGCTCGTGCACCCATCTAAGCAATAAAGAAAAACCCACCTTATATTCCCCTTTCAGTAGATGGTCGCAGGGTTTCATGTAGTCATCTGGGTTATGGGTGAATGCAATTATCGTGTTATTGGTGAAGTCCTTTCCGAATAATCTCATGGTGAACTCAGTTTCCCGTAGCACCGACGGCACCATGTCATCGACGATCTTCGGTTTCTCCGCAAGCTCCACCCTCAAACCCAACAGCTTCGGCACGATCGTGTTGTTCACCATCATCTGACGTTTCTGTCGGCTCAACTCGGCCGGGTATTCGAACAGATCCTCCCCCTCCAAAAATTCCGGGTATGAGTCTTCGGAGACCTCATTCTCCGCGTCTCTGTGGATGATCAAAAGTATCTTTAAATTAATACGTTAAGCAAAAACTTTATTTGAATTTTTTTTATGAAAATTGCACGGACGGAGGAGTATGAAATTACCCACACTTATAGAGAATATAGAGAAGGAGGGCAGAATGTTAATCTTTTTTTTTTATTATGCGTAAAAAATACATTAAATCAATAAAAAATAATAATACACACACTACCATATATTTGACACAACACAACACACATAATATGTCATATAGTGTGTTTATTGTCAAACTTTTGTTATTGTATAAAGTCTGTGGTCAAATTGTTTGTTTTTAATATTATTTGTCTATGGTGTAGTCATGGCGAAATCTGTTATTATAGAAGTATAATAGTCTTTGACAATAGAACCATAATAATGTTCAAACTTAGAATTTCAATTAATTATAGTCCAATTTCGACTACTGCGGGACCACCAGTATTCAAAACTATTCAGTAACAGAAATCGACGTAATTACTTCAGTGCGCCGCGTAGGGCACCGGTGACCTACAAGACAGTCGAAGGACTAAGGAAATATCAAAAATATATATCGAAACATGCGTTAGGAGCAGACATACCTTCGAGTTAGTTTTAAAAGATAACGCACTGTTTGCTTACTTTTTATCTTGCGCCAACATTGAAATCTGATATGAGGCAAACAAGACTTTTAATCGAACGTTTTTTGAATCCTCTTTACGCAGAGTAACTATGGGGGGTTGGGGGAGGGTCAGCCAGCCACGAATCACGCACAGACAATTCAATCTAGCTAATTCCTACTGCATATTAAAAAAAGTCAAGTAATGTCTGTGCTATCTTCTTTTTCTCCACCTTATCCCACTAGGTGGGGTCGGCACAGCTAATTTTCCTCTTCCATTCTCTTCTATCGGCCGTCATCTCAACACTTATTTTTGGTTTATTACTGGTGGTAGGACCTCTTGTGAGTCCGCGCGGGTAGGTGCCACCGCCCCGCTTATTTCTGCCGTGAAGCAGTAATGCGTTTCGGTTTGAAGGGTGGGGCAGCCGTTGTGACTATGCTGAGACCTTAGAACTATATCTCAAGGTGTGTGGCGCATTTACGTTGTAGATGTCTGTGGGCTCCAGTAGCCACTTAACACCAGGTGGGCTGTGAGCTCGTCCATATATCTAAGCAATAAAAAAAAAAAAAAAAAAAACTCACTCCTCTCTCTCTCATATTGTCATTCACACGCTCCATCCATGTCTTCTTCGGTCGACCTCTTCCCCCTCTACCTTGCACTACCATTTCCATACATCTCCTAGTCACATGCATCTTCTCTCTACGAATCACATGTCCACACCACGCTAACCGTCCGCTCTTTAATTTGTTGATTACCGGGGCTACTTTCAAACTTCCTCTGATTAGTATTGAAGTAATTTCTGTGCTATGCGTGCCTATATACAAGAGGTTACGCGGCCAAAACAAATTGCTTGGTCGACTTATAGATCGGAGCTTTTTACGTCAATAAGAAACGTATTATTGCAGGTTCGATGGATACTAATAACTTAATGGACTGTACTTTATTACTTTACTGAAGCAGCGTTTTATATACACGGCCGGTGCGAACGTTAGACATTTGTTGTGCCTAGTCTTTCTTTATTGCCCTTGTAGGCAGACGAGCATACGGCCTACCTGATGGTGAGTGTTACCATCCATGGACGTCAGCTATGACAGGGGCAGAGCCAAGCCTAACGTTAAGTACTCTCCACAAGCCTCGTTTGAAGAAGGACATGTCCTAGCGCTCGGGAAACACCGTGGAGGGGAGCTCATTCCAAAGCCGGATGGTACGTGGCAAAGAGATCTCTGAAAACGCACTGTGGATGAACTGTGGATGAACGCAGTGGCTCCAGCTAGTATGGATGAACTCTACTCCGGTGGCGGGCGGTGCGATAGTAAGGGATCGTAAAGTCTGGCTAATGGACCAGACCTTTTGGATCCACATGGGTCCAATCTATGTAGTCGCACCAGTGTTGTACAACGGCTGCCTTCATCCTTGAAATCGAGACGAATAACCGCTTCGCAACAGAAACGTCAGCGTAGTGGTTTTACCTATCAGCAGTTAGGCTATTCTGGTTTAGATTTGATTGTGAGCGAGCCCACGGGGTTCAGAGTCAGAGGATTTTGTTAACACCTACCCTAGCAAGAGCAGTGTTTCGCAGAATTTACTGCCGGAGCGGAAACGCAACCCACTGAGAAGATCCGGCGAGAAACTCAGTGAAACGTGTATGTAGGTGTGGGGATATATGACAAAGGGAAGATCTTCCGCCGAACGGGTGATATTGCTCGGTAGACCGACGGTCCAAATGTTGTTGTTCGGAACTTGTATATAAGCAAGCTTATCTTGATAACGTCGTAAGCGAGATTCAGGCATCTGTCAAAGATCTTGCGTTGTATGATGGCTACCGCCACATAGGTTAAGTTGCACATCGAACCGTTGCATTCCGACATAGATAATACACATAAATTAGCTATAGACAACAACTCAAGCACTCAACAAAAATGTTTACGGGCGTCGGCCACTAGATGGCTACTAACTATCCTATATTTTATTTTTAAGGAAGGATTTTGTAAATTTTCTTACACCACAAATTGATAATATTTAATCAATTTGTCTATAACAAATAAAGATTTGTATGATTTATTAATTATTTATGTTCGGTGTTTAGTTATACAATAATTAAAAGCCTTAACTTTAACAACATATAAGCTTAGGGGCATCCGCTACAAGATGTCGCTAGTATCCATACAGAAAAATTTTTTGTCTTAAAGTGTCGCAGTTTCGGGGCCCTAGGTTCCAATCAATGGTACTAAAGAAAATAACGATATAAAAAAAAACTTTTTTAAATTATACACCTTACGATACATTTAAGGCGTATATAATAACGATTATTTTTGTGGATTGTAAATAAACGGGCTTTGTTATTTATTAATTATTATTATTATTATGAGAAATTGATACACCCTGTATATTATATAAAAAGTGACCGGCTCATATACGTTGATGGGAGGCGACGCCGAGGTCACTCATTCATTAAGTTTATGGTTGGATACACGCAATGGCGACACGCGGCTAGAATGAGGTACTCTCAGTCGATATCACGGAGTCATTGGAATTGTGAAGGTGGTCTATTCTGATTAGCAAACTTCGACCGTACACCCTATGAACTATACGTATTGTTAAACAATTGGTAGGACCTCTTGTGAGTCCGCACGGGTAGGTACCACGGCATTGCCTATTTCTGCCGTGAAGCAGTAATGCGTTTCGGTTTGAAGGGTGGGGCAGCCGTTGTAACTATACTGAGACCTTAGAACTTACATCTCAAGATGGGTGGCGCATTTACGTTGTAGATGTCCATGGACTCCAGTAACCACTTAACACCGGGTGGGCTGTGAGCTCGTCCACACATCTAAGCAATAAAAAAATAATCTACTACCGGATCGAAAACGCGACGCACTGAGAAGATCCGGCGAGAAACTCAGTGGGTGGGATGTCATTCCTTCACCGTGGAAGTTAATCGTGAACATTTGTTAAGTATCATTAGAAAAAAAATTATATCCACCGGGATTCGAACGCCATCACGGTCCGCATCGCTCAATACGAACGCACCGGGTGGGTTATCCTTTAGGCCACGACGACTCTCAAATTTCTGTTCAATCAAACTCAAATATAGAGGCACCTAATTTATTACTTATTATTATAAAGCTGAAGAGTTAGTTTGTTTGTTTGTTTGAACGCGCTAATCTCAGGAACTACTGGTCCGATTTGAAAAATTCTTTCAGTGTTAGATAGTCCATTTATTGATTAAGGCTATATAACATCACGGTAAAATCAATACAAATGGAGCTTCACCAATAAAAAATGTTTCAAAATAGGGGTTTAAATAGCTCCTTAGCATTTTATAATTCAAAAATATTTTCACTTTCTATGTAAATGAAGTGGGGAGTAAAATTTAGCGTTATGCCAAACTAACTATTCCATGCAAACGGAGTCGTGGGTAATAGCTAGTTGTATTATATAATACCGAATTACACGCGTTACATTGTCCGCATCGTGCCATCTCTCTCTATCATGACATTAATTACATTCAAAACATTTGATGCGGTATTAAGCTTGTCAGAACCGGGAGTGTCCAAGGTCGTTGGCTATATCGAATTTTTTATTATTGCTTAAATTGGTGGACGAGCTCACAGCCCACCTGGTGTTAAGTGGTCACCGGAGCCCATAGACATCTACAACGTAAATGCGTCATCCACCTTCAGATATGAGTTCTAAGGTCTCAAGTAGTAGTTACAACGGCTGCCCCGCCCTTCAAACCGAAACGCATTACTGCTTCACGGCAGAAATAGGCAGGGTGGTGGTACCTACCCGTGCGGACTCACAAAAGGCCCTACCACCGATAAAAAATAAACATGTAGACGAAGAGCAAAAAAAAAATCTGTTTGTCCTGAACGTTGACCCGATGTGGGAATCAAACTGTAGCATCGACTCAGTCAAATTATCCAGAATATTGACGTGTAGACCTTCAAAGAACACTGCAATCAAGCAGCACCTGTTTTCTATAGAACAGTCTCTGATAGTGGATTTCTTCGCACACGTTTCGCGACGATATGCAGGATACGATCCCCGCGGGGGATCGCCGATGCGGTGGACTGACCAAATGAGTACTTTTTTTCTTACCTAAGCTGATAGCCTTGAGAGGCTATATCAACGTCGCCTTAACTAGTAGGTGAGTTCACGGGGCTCAAACCTGATGACGTTGCTAACACGAACCCTAGCAAGAGCCGTGCTTCGCAGAATCTACCACCGGATCGGAAACGCGACCCACTGAGAAGATCCGGCGAGAAACTCCGTAGATTCTGTCTGAGGGTTGAGAACTACAGTAGGAGGTCATCTAAATGAGTACGGTAGTGTGGCCACGGGCAGGGATAGTTTTTTTTTCCTACCTATACTGATAGCCTTGAGAGGCTATTTC